CTCGGGGAGACACGTGGCACCGGTTGTTATTGTGAGACTGAAAGGCCTTATATTGACACCCAGAGCTCAATTTTTACAAATGTTTTTTTCTCAGGGTAACACGTGTCGCCCGTTGTTTTGTGCGGCTGAATAGCCTTATGTTGGTTCCCAGGACCCATGATTTATATTTGTTTTTTCTCGTGCGATTTCGGGGGTGGCACTTGTTACCCGTGGATTTGTTTGCGAAGCTGGATGGCCTTATGGTGGCTCCCAGAATCCCTAACTTACAAGTAGCTTTTTCTCACACAGTTTCGGGGTTGACACATGTCACCCGTTGTTTCTTTGGAGTTGAATGGCCTTACGCCGGCTCCCAGAATCCAGAATTTACATGTGGTTTTTTTCACACGGTTTTGGGGGTGGCACGTGTCATCCGTTGTTTTTGAGAGGTTGAATTGGCTTTTGCTGGCTCCCACAATCCCCAATTTTCAATTGGTTTGTCTCACGGTTTCGGGGGTTACACGTGTCATCTGTTGTTTTTGTGAGGTCGAATGGTTTCATGTTGGTTCCCAGAATCCTAAATGTACAATGAGTTATTCTCACGCGGTTTCGGGGGTGGCACGTGTTGCTCGTTGTTTTTGCACGGCGGGGTGGCCTTCTGTTGGTTCCTGGAATCCAAAATTTATAATTGTTTCTTTCTCACACGTTTTCGGGGGTGGCACGTGTCGTCCGTTGTTCTGTATGAAGTTGAATGGCCTTATGGTGGCTTCCACAATCCCAAATTTACATATGGTCTTTCTCAGACGGTTGGGGGGGTGGCACGTGTCACCCGCTGTTTTTTGTGAGGCTGCATGGCCTTATGTTGATTGGCTCCCAGAATCCCGGGTTCGCAGGGCGTGGCCGGTGCGGCCTGACGCCAGGATGGGGTGCGAAGGATTCGACCTTCGCACGCGCAGCGCCAGGGCGGTCGCGGGGACGTCCCAGGCGGTCCGGTTTGCCCCTCCTCCCTGTGTTTCCTATTTGCGCATTGCAGCGCTGGGAACAACTATTTTTGTGAATTGTCCACCAAGATTTTTCCAGTTGTTTGACAGGAGTCCGGACGCGGGCGCGAGAATTCATTGAGAAGTGGGCGCGGTTCGGCAAAGAAGGGATTAGAGCCAAAACGGCAACCGAGGGGTGTAGGAAGAGGAGGATGAGGAAGGCGGATCCGAAACGTAGGGCGCAATGCTGAGGGAGATGAGGGGAGGGAAGAGAAAGATGATAATTACAATTATTGATAGGAAAGAAGGAAGCCAACAGTCCGCCCCGAAAATGGCTGCTGTGCGTAAACGAGAAGAAAAACTACGTTGGTTAACGCTGCAACGGGTAACACAGAAACGAAACGTATATTCATTCGAAGCAAATGTCCTGGAAAACCATCGGGAAGCTCAAAAGCCTTTGGGGCGCCAAGCGCAGCCGAGCCGTTTGGCAGAGCAGCCGCGCCCCCAAGAGTGCACGCTGCGTCTGGCCATGCGGGGCCCGTCCAACACACTGCAGCAGGGGCACAGGCATCTGCTCGAGCAGGGCGGCGACGCGTTCCTGGACGTGCGCCGTGCCTCCCAGCCTTGGCCTCCCGACGCTACTGAATTTGCTGTGAGGGGCAGCTCTGTCCGAACCACGAATGCGCCCCTACTTTGAATCACGGGCGTGTGCAGTCGCAATCGGTCGCATGCCGATGCAGCGCATCTGGAATGACGCAGACAGGCCAGGCGCTCTGTTTCCCCCGGTGCTTGTGGATGCACAGCGTTGGGCTGGGAGCTCGCTCGAGAGAGCTGGATTCACTCAAGAGCACTGTTGTGTATGCTGATGCCGCTTCTTCAAAGTCCGAGTCGAATCGAGTAGTGTAGAGTCGAGTAGAGGCGACTATCGAGCAGAGCCGTGGACTGGCTCCAGGCCTTGATCTGCCCCCCCGTTCCTTTGGTTTCAACACTGGCAGTTAGACGTTAGTCACAGTGCCTTACACCATCTCCGCGCCTGTGCCTTTTACGATGGTTTCGTATGTCTGGGCTGTTCGAGCTAGTCAGGGACAGCTTATCGAGCTCGACTGTCATTGGCGCAGGAAGGGGTTGAGTGCAGCAGGTCAAGGGGGCCGAGAGGGGCGTTCACATTTCACCTGAATTGCAGCGATGACCCATGCTTGCTTCAGTCAAGGTCCTTTCTTGCCTCAGGCGATTGTGACGTTACCGATTGGGCTGCGGGGCCTTGCAGCATTGATTGCGACGACAAGTGCCCTACCAAATTGCGGCCTGACGCCGATCCATATGCTTGCGGAGGCGCACTGGACTGCACACGGTTGTAGCAAAGCGTAGCAGTAGATGATGCGACCGCGATGCAGAGGGCACGCACGGTAAGAAGCGTTGGACGGTCAACACGCGTTTGTTTAGTTGAATGTTGTTTGTCGCGCATATTGGCATTCCAACGTATGTCTATTCAATGCATGTTTCCAACAGGGCATTACATTATGAAGCATGAAGCGATCATGCATCCAATCCTGTTTGTATTGAGGTGTCTCGTGATTTCAACAGCTAGTGCAGGGGGATGAAGAGGTAGGGAAGCTGTAAAGACCATGGTAGGTAGGATGAGGAACCGAGGACTAGGAATGAGAGGATCATGACCATGAGGAGTAGAGGCTGGAGGGACTGAAAGAGCAGGAGGAGAGAGGGATTAGAATGGTTTCCGTAACCCCCGATAGTTGGGATGTGTTCATTGAGATGTGCGGAAAGCCGCCGCCCGTGCCCGCCGTGGGCCGGAGGTCACCCCGCTTGGGGCGCGAAGGCGATCGCGGGTCGCGGTCTGGGCCGCGGGGTTGCAGGGCCCGTTTCGATTCCTCCGGCTCGACGCGATCCGATTCCGGCTCGATTCGATTTCGGATTCCGATGTGGGCTCCGATCTCTCAAGGAAGGCCCATTCAGCCTGCCGATTTCCGCCGATTCGACGTTCCCCTACCCGGCCGCCGATTCCCGCCGATCCGATTCATGTCGATCACCGATCCGACTTCTCGATTCGACTCTGGGGGCGTCTGGGGTTGCCGTTCTCCAAGGCGGCCGCGCGCAGAAGGGGGGTAGGTAGGACGGGACGGGGGGAGGGCTCCTCAGGAGGATGCTGCTTCTTGGAGGGCGCCGGCCTCACATTTGCAGACGAGGCCCGCGCCTTCTGAGAAGCAGCCTCCTTCTAGGAAGCCCTCCCTCGAGCAGTGGCGAAGCGTCCTGGCTTGCCTATAGGCCAGCCAGACAATGTTCTAATAATATTTTGCGGTCTCCGCGAAATGTTCTTAGAACATTTCTGGTTGGTACTGTCTCGTTTTCACACATCGGATGTGTGTTTTAAGAACAGTGTTGTTGTGATTCGAACAGGTTGGGCTCCAAGAACATCTCGTGGTAGGCCTGTGGGAATGCCGGGGCGGTCGGTCCCTGCTCAGCTCCCCGTAGATCGATGTCGTGTTTTTCAATGCGGGGTCCCCGGAAGTCTCGACACCTTCCCGGGGACCAGTTTTTCATCTTGAGTCGTTTTCTGACGGTCCTGGGGCCCGGCGAGGGCCCCTAGAGGCCGAAAACTGAAAAGAAAAAAAACTCCGTCTTGATGTTTTCAAGACGTTGGCTGTCGGGGTCCCCCGCGTCCCCCTGCCGCCGCTGCACGCGCCGCCGGGGGTCGGCGGAGCGAGGGCGCGCCGAGCACCGCGGGGCGCGCAGGGCGCTCCGCGGGGGCGCGGTGCGCGCAGCCGGGCGCCCGGGCGGCAGTGTCGGGTCGGCGTGTGCCGGTGGTTCCCCTCCGCCGTGCGGGCCGCGAGCGGAGGGCCGCGGTCCCACGAGGGGGGGGGAGGAGGAGGAGGAGGAGGAGGAGGAGGAGGAGGAGGAGGAGGAGGAGGAGGAGGAGGAGGAGGAGGAGGAGGAGGAGGAGGAGGAGGGAGGAGGAGGGGGGAGAGGAGGAGGAGGAGGAGGAGGAGGAGGAGGAGGAGGAGACCCTTAAGGCGGGCGTGTCCCTCTACAGGAGGAGTATTCAGAAACAGGAACGGACAAGTCTGGGGACGATTTGTTGATTATGTTTGGCCATTCTGGGGGGTGGTTGTTGACTTTTTTTTCGTCCAAGATCCGCCTGCGGGGGACATGCCCGACCTAAGGGTGCCCATCGGTCGTTGAACGTAGGTATTTCTTTGGGATTCCCACGTTCCAGTCTGCTTTGAGCGCCTTCCTACTCTTTTGTGATCGAGCGGCTTCACCTCTTCTGTCCTCCTTAGGGGGCGGACGGAACCCGGTCTATGTTCAACGCCTTCCTACTTCACGTGTCCATCTTCTTCGTCCGACCAGATGGGTATCTCGCTTCTTGTTTCGAGCCATTTTTGCAGAGCTCTGACTGCAGGGAGGGGGGATGGGGAATAGTGCAGGGAATGGGGGACGGGACAACATCGAGAGGGGGAGCGGGAGTCAAGAGGGCCTGGCGTGGGAGCCGGCGCCAGGATGAGATTGGGGGGGCGGGGAAGGGGAAGGGAGGTGTACGCAAAGAGCGGAAGGGGGCAACGGGAATCGGACGTCAGGGGTCTTCACAGCGTGTCCTTCGTTGGTTTGTTGATCGGGCTTGGTCAGCAAAGCCATGGCTAGGGATTCTTATGTACAAGACAAGTATGTGGTGGAGTGTGAGATGCATGCTCAGGGCAAGAAATTGAATGGAGGGGGGAGGTCTACTCCAAATCCCTTATTGATCGCCCCCTCCTAAAAAACCGGACCCCCCTCCAAATGACACCTAATATTCTGGACCTCCTCTTCGACGGGGCGTCTTGATAAACCCGACCCCCTAAGCTCTAATCCGAAAAAAGCGCCCTAATAAACCGGACCCCCCCAGTTACAAACAAGGCGGCTTAAAAACCAGACCTGGGGGACGATTAATAAGGGATTTGGAGTAAAGTTCATGTTTCGCTCGTGCGCAGTACAGCCACTTCCACCATTATGCCCAGCCGCCGGATGTCAGGCTACCAGAAGCTCACCCGAGAGATGGTTGCAGCCCCGAACAAGTACGGTATGTCCTGTCCAGCGTTGACGATGCAGAAGAAGTGCAATCAGATACGGCGCCTCGGGAAGTGGCAATGGAGAGTTTGCCAGCACATTTTCGAGCGTAGCAATTGTGAGCAAAGTGCTTGAGGTAAAAGGTGGCGTAACGGACCAGCAGCGCTCACATGGTGTCGAGGCGAAGGCAAGCAGACTTTACACCCGTATATGGTGTTTGTCGAGTCCGTTCGCGAATCCGCTGACCACGTCTGCCAGATGCCTGTGCACGGGCCAAAATCTGAAGCGCCATGGTGAAACAGGAATTTGGATGCGAGCGTGCGTCTACATATATGTAGACAGCTCGTCGGTAAAAGCCGAGCTTGGTGGAGGCAGTGCAACCAGCCATCACTTCACAATGGTGGGCAATCTGGGCTGTAAGGCGTTCTTTTCCGTCGCCGCTGAGACTTGTTCGTGGTGCTGCTGAGGCGACTGCTTGGCCTGTACGGTCGGTCTGTGGGACGATGGTTACTTGAGGCTGTTAGCGTAGTTTTAAGTCGGGCCTGTCCGTCAAAAAACGTCAGGGGTCAACTGTTTCAGCATTTCTTGATGTTTTGCTTGGGTATGTTTGTTTTTTTTCGCTCAAGATCCGCCCGTAGGGGGGCATGTCCACCCTAAGCTTAGTTGTCACGCCATGGCCCGTGCCTTCTCCACGCCGCAGGGTCGTTTGTCAAAGGCGTTGTCCGCTCCGCTGTGTCGTGGGTGCGGTGTTGAATAGTACGCGGAGGGCCCTGGTTTTCGCATTGGCTTGCCGTGGCCTCGGCCGAAGGGCACCACAGTTGATACCTTGACCCCTTCGGCCTATTGGTTGTCGAGCCGCCGTGTTTGGCGTATGTCGTAGACGGTCGTGTTCGGTTCGTGCATGATCCATCGGGTGATATTGTATGTATAATTGATGTATACATATGCTGATACTTGCATGGCTATGATTGAGGGAGGTGTAGGTGATTGGTATTGTCGGGTAGCTGCTAGTAGAGTCTCCTTGTGGACGTGCCACCCCGGATCTGAATCGAGAGGCCTGGCAGCGAAAGGTCTTTCCGCTACTATGATTTCAACAGCGTCTGTCAATCCCGACTTGACATAAGGCAGCGTACACTGGCATGAGACACGTCCCTTCTGCTTCGGTAGATAAGTCAGCGTGATCTGTTGCATCAGCATTGTAAGATAAACCAGTCGTTCGAGCAGCGCTTACATATTGCACTGTGCAGAATGTTCATGCTCTCCTTAACTTCGTCCCTCCCGTTCCCCTCTCGTCCCTCCACCTCCCTCTCCTCCCCATCCTTGACTGGAGGACAAGTCAGGAATCTCGCACGAGATTGCCCGAAGCTGCCTCAGTCCAGAGGATCGATTCGGGCTTGGAAGGACCTTTGCGTGGGTAAGCACCCGAGACTTGCCCATGTCCAGGCCGAGCTTCTTTCCCTCCCTGACCAATCATGTGGGCCCCGCGCTGGTGGACAAAAAAGCTCCTCCCCATCCCTGTCCGCGACCTCGGCACCGCCGCCGTGCGCCCGCCACGGCCGAGACGGACCTGCGGCTGCGCTCTGCCAGGGACGGCTGACGCCCCTTGCACGGCAGGGGCCGTGCCGCGCGTGGGCCGTCCCCGGTCTGCAGCGGCGGTGGCGGATGGAGGCGGCACACCGCTGGGGCTCCAGGCGGTCCTATCGATGATCCTCAGGACGTGTGTTAGCCCAATGTGTGTTTACCCTCTTCAGCCCAGTCAGTAGATCATTCCATCGCCTGGGTCGTGTCGAAGACCTCGATGGACAAACACACGTTGGGGCTAACACACGTTCTGAGGATCATCTATCCTAGGGGTGCGAAGAATGACATAGACATAAAAAACTCGGAGGTCCGCGCGGATTTCACGGATCGGCGCTGGGTCCCCCTCCCTGGCGAGCGGAGCGCGCCAGGGGCGGCGCCAGAGGCGCCGCCAGGGGGTCCAGCGCGGATCCGAGAAATCCGCGCGGACCTCCGAGTTGTTATGTTCATGTGATTCTTCGTTCCCCTAGGACCACCCCTCGGGGCAACGAGTGGCGGCATGACCCACGCCGGGGGTGCCATCCCCCCGGCGGGGAGGTCCACGGTGCCTCCCCCGAGCTTGCGAGAGGGGGATGTCTCGAGCGGCGAGCGATGCCCCCGAGCTCGCGAGCGGGGGGGGGGGGGGGCCTCGCCGCCAGCGGGAGCCCCCATGGCTCCTGTGGTGGTGGTGGTCACGCTCCTCCTCGGCCCTGCGTAGCCTCGGGGGTGCGCGGCTGCCGCTCGAGCAGCGCTGGCGGAGGCGCCACGGCGCATGCGTTCTCGCCGTGCGGGGCAAGCTCGCCGAGCTGCCTCCTGGATCTACCTCGGGCCGGACGGAGGGGGGGGATGGGGAAGGGGGGGGGGTCCGAAAGTTGCTGCATGCAGCTGGTGTCGGCCTCTCCGAGGGGCCCATTCCTCGATACATAGCCGCCTCCGGCGCCGGAGGCGCCAGGAAAATCAGCTACGCGTGAATGCAGTCGGGGCGCTGAAGAAGGAACTCTTTCCGTTGGGGGCTCGGTGTTCCTCGATTGTTTTACTTTTTGCCTCAGGTTTCCCATGGGACATCGAAGGTTACCTGATGGGAAAGAGGGGCCTCGTTCCTCATTTAGGGTTCCTTGGGTCCACGCCCCGACTCTGTACACCCGATTCAGAGGAGCAAGAAGACATGGTTGAGGTGCGTCCCGCTGGTTCCATGTGTTTTGTTTTGGCTGCTCCGCACAGTCTCCAGCGTCGAGGGCCGGCAAGCTCCGGGATTCGTGGAACGTGGCTTGAGCCAGCCGCGGGGACGCCCAAGCGGTGCGGTGGCCACACTGTGTGGTGAGTCGGTGGGGACTCGGGGCGGCCGCACTGTTTTGGGACTCGGGTCGTTCTCTGTGGATGTCTCGGGCGATGGGGCCTCCAGGGTCTCAAAACCGGGCGGTGCTGGACCGTGTGGGTGAAGTCTCTTGGGGTTTCGAGGTGGCCGCCTGGTCTGTCACCGCACCGGCTCGGGCCCCCACGAATCACTCTCGCCCTTCTAGGCCTCCTAGATGGGGTCGGAGTAGATGGGGTCGGAAGATCGCGCCGCATCGCCGATGCGTCGCCGGTGCGGCTCGGTGCGGGGCCCGATATGCTTCACGTCGACGTCGCCGATGCATCGCCGACGCTGACGATGCGTCGACGGTGCATCCCCGATGCATCGCGGAGGCATCGCGGATGTGTCGGCGATGCGGCGCGACCCTCTCCCACCACGTCTGCGCCGACCCCATCCGGGAGGCCCCTCGCCCTGCCGGCACGACTGGCCAGGGCGAGAGCTCGGCGCACACGTGGCCGCGCGTCTGTCGCCCGTGGCCGGCCCTCGGTGCCCCGGGCGGGCGGCGGGCGCCATGGCCTGTGGCGCGAGGGCGTCGAGCGCGCATGGCCGCCTCCCCAGGAGGGCCGCCTCGTGCTGCTCGTCCTCGCTGCCTGGGCGTACGTCGGACCTGCCCCTCTGCAGGAGGAATAGTCAAAGATAGTCTAAAAAACCAGTCTGGGGACGATGTTTTGACTGGTCGTAATGGTTTTTGTTTCTGTGTTCTTTCTTGACTATTTGTTCTTCTTCGTCCAAGATCCGGCTGTAATTAGGAGGACACGCCCGAACTCAGCCTGGGCCGGCGGAGGTGCCCCGTGAACTGCAAGGTGTCCGAGTGGAGCGGCTTCTCCACGTGCCGCGCGCCCCACTGCTCTCCGGGGGGAGGGGCACGGGAGAGGGGGGGAGGCGAAAAGTGCCCGTGTGCGGGGGGGGGACGGGGCGGGGTGGGAGAGGGGAGGAGGCAGGGAGGGTCGAGCAGTGGCGAAGCGTCTGGGCGTGCCCACAGGCCTGCCAAGCCATGTTCTAAGAACCTGTCTTGTGGTTTCCACGACATGGTCTTTAAAACATTTCTGGCTGGGACTGTCTTGTTTTAACCCATCGGGCTTATGTCCTAAGAGTATCGTTTTTGTTTTTGGAAAATCTCTGGGATCTGAGAACATTTCGTGGTAGGCCTGTGGGAATGCCGGGACGGTCGATCCCTGCTCAAGAGAGGGAGCGGGGGAAGGGGAGGGGAAGGGGGCGGGCCCTCGGCTCCACCCTGCTCTTCGGCCTCTCCTCCCTCTTCCCCGCCGCCTTCCTCCGTTTGCTCGTTCTCGTGCTCCTCCTCCGGCTCCTCTTTTTCTGCCCCTTCAGCCTCGCCTCGCCGATGTTAATTGATTTTCTTTGTTGGCTAGCTACTAGGAGCCCTCCCAAGCAGGTTTCTCCTGATGCCCCCTGTGAGCCACTTTTCCTCTCAAGGTCGCGACGACGAAGTTAAGTAAGTCGCCCCACGAAGTCCAAAGAGACCCAACAGCGTCCAAGAGTTTTGATCCTCCTCTTCTACCGCACCAGACATCAGACGCCCCGACGCGTCTTCTGACAGTCCTTGCACTTCGGGTTTCTTCCGCGCTCTTCTTACAGTGGAGACCCATTCCGAGAAGCACCCTGCTTGCCTCCAGGGTGCCCTCGGTTTCTCGGGTTTCGGTGGTTTTGCGATGAAGAAGCGTGACGCTCCCACATCAACAATCAATGGACGTCCTGGGGTCTCTGGGTAGGTTTCTGGTGGAAGGTCTCCTGTGGTCGAGATCCGACTGCACTCCTCTTACCCAGAAACTGGCTCGGCCCTCCAAGGTTCTGCCTGGTTGGCGGTCGTGGGCGCCCACGTGGGCGCCCCGTGCGCAGGCTGGGCCCGTCGAGGTTTCGCCTGCTGGGCGCCCACGTGGGCGCCCCGTGCGCCGGCTGGGCCCGTGGAGGTTCTGCCTGGTGGGCGGTCGTGGGCGCCTCGAGGGCGCCCCGTGCGCCGGCTGGGTCCGCCGAGGTTTCGCCTGCTGGGCGCCCACGTGGGCGCCTCGTGGCCGCCCCGAGCGCTGGCCCGGTCCGCCGGAGCTTCGCCCACGTGGGCGCCCACGTGGGCGTCCAGTGGGTCGGCCGAGGTCTGGCCCCCCTGCGTTGGCCGGTGCCGTCGAGGTGCCGCCCGCCTGGTGGGCGCCCTGTGCTCTGGCCTGGTCCTCGGAGGAGGACGAGGAGGAGGAGGAGGAGGAGGAGGAGGAGGAGGACCCCCTCCCCATCCAACTTATGGTGGTGGTGGAAGACAGGCCCATCATTCGTGGGTCTCCTCGGGGGCTTTCGTCGTCACCGCTGGATTCGCCCCGAAATGCAGGTCAGAGCACACCCCCGGGAGAGGTCCGGGGAGTAGCGGCATCGGTACCTGTTGGTTCCCCCAGGTCCGCCAAGGGCTTTCACCTGTCGGGCGCCCGCGGGCGCCCACGTGGAGTCCGGCGCAGATTGCGCCACGCAGCTTAGCACCACATGGGTTGGCCCACATGCGTTGGAGGGCTTGGGGTGCACCAGATAGTGGGCTTAGAGTGTACCACAAAGCCTGCACCACATAGCTTCTACCATGTAGATCACACCACGCACATTCTATTGTTCCAAAGAGTAGAGATTACTCGGCTCTACCCCCAAGCGGAGACCGGACATTCCGATTGCCTTTTTTACATTGGTTGTTCATGTCCATTATGCCCAGTGTGGCCTTTGTTCATCCCGCCTCATCCCTGTCGAACACCACAGAGGATTCGCTTCGGTCTCGGAAGCGCACTGTTCCTGTATGAAATAATACAATGAACACCGCACGCGAGCAAACATGTCGAACGCCTCAAACAGTTATGTTGTTTTACATTTGTGAACGCAAGGCTGGTACCAACCACGATGGTCGTTTTGTTCAATCATTACCAGATTGATGTGCGCGCTCATTTCTTGAAAGCCTTCGAAGCCATATCTGGTATGCTGGTTAGTCAAATGAGAGCATGCAGGCTACATTCGCGCCCATGTCCAACACACTCGATCTGCATCGCTCACGAGTCAACTCTGTCTAATGATACAGAGCGGGCAACACTTTCGCATTCCTGCGCGCGCATGTCGAAATCATTGTAAACGCATAGGCCCTCAAAGCATTTCAACATTGGTGAGTTCAAGCAATTGGAAACGCGTGCTTGTTTCTAGAATCAGGTGTCTGCGCGCGCCGTTTCCTCATTATTCTCATCAGCACCATCAGCACTATCATCATCATCATCATCATCATCATCATCAGCATCATCATGAGCATCATCATGGTCATCATCATCATCATGATCATCGTCATCATCGTCGTCATCTTCATCCTCCTCATCCTCCTCATTTCTATCAACACCATGATCATCATTATCATCATCATCATGCGCAGCATCACCATCATCATCATCATCATCATCATCAACATCATCATCAGCATCATCTTCATCACCATTGCCCGCGTCATTAGTAGTATCGTAATCTTGGTCAGCATCATCTTCATCACCATCGTCCCAATCGAGCTCACTTAGAAGCCGAGCTCAGGCTGCAAGAACAGGGTCCTGTTTTCTTTTATTCTGGGGCGATAAGGGGCATTACCAAGGGGGGGCGGGGGACGGGGGCCGGTGACGTCACGTTTCGCGACCGCGGCGTCTGGGAATGCTTAGGAATGGTCGAGGACGGGTAGGAACAGCATGTGCCTGGCGATCTGCACCACAGCGCCTGTGTGATCCACAGTGCCTGCGTGCACCAAAGTGCCTGTGTACACCACGGCGCTTACGTACAACACAGCAGCCGCGTGCAACACAGCGCCAGTGTACACCATTGTGCCTGTGTGCATCACAGTGCCTGTGTACACCACGGCGCCTGTGTGCTTCACAGCAACCGTGCGCAACACTTCACCATTGTTGCATGTAGAGTGCCATAAGGACTCCTTATGACAAAATGGGACGCCTTGGATTTGGAAAGGAATCCGTATAGGAAAAGGAGCGCCTTTGGAATCTACGAGTCCTCCCGAGTCCTCCCGCATCATCCTAACTCCTCCGATCTGCGTCCAGAAGGTTTTTGCAGAGTTGGTCGTTTGAGAACTAAGCGGATTGGTGCAATAGACCATGTCTCCAAAATGCACACTGAGATGCGCAATTGCGTTGCAGCGCCGACCCGCACGACTGGGGGAAGGGTGAGGGAGGAGGAGGAGGAGGACGAGGAGGAGGAGGAGGAGGAGGAGGAGGTAGGGGGGAAGACCATCGCATTATATTATCAGCACTTCCCTTGTGTGGTGCCTAGCTGTCCGCAGCAGATCCTCACCTACACGTGGTGTGCACGAGCGCTGTGTTGTACGCGGATGTTGTGGTGTACACTTGCGCTGTGGTGTGCACAGGCGCTGCGGTGCACGCAAGCATTGTGGTGTACAGAGGCGGTTTGTTGCAGGCGGCTATTGCAGTGTGCGCATTCGCTGTGGTGTACGCAGTCGTTGTGGTGCACGCGAGCATTGTGGTGCACACAGGCGCTGCGTTGCACACAGGCGCTGTAATACACACGCGCGCTGTGGTGCACGCGAACACTGCGGTGTACACAGGCGCCGTGGTGCAGATCGCCGCCTGCATGCTGCTCCTACCTGGCATCGGCAATCCCTGGGCAGTCCTGGGCGCCGTCGGCGCCCAGCGTGACGTCACTTGGGGGGAGCGTGGCTGGTGACGGGCTCCACAGGGTCCCCGAAGCGAAGTGCCCCTCTGGCGCTTGGGCGAGTGGAGAAGAGGCGCGGGGCGGTGACGCGGGCGAAACGTCCCGCATCTGCGCCCCGCGGAAGGAGTGGCTGCCGCTTGGATAGCCACCGTTGGCATGAGGGCGTCGGCAGCTAGCAGGTTCACACGCCAGGCAGCCCCGACGTGGGTGAGTGCGACATCGAGGAACATGTACCAGGTGTCGCACGAGGCAGATAAGAAGGAGTTTGGGGTGAAACGGGCCACCCTAAAATGGCCAGCAGGCGGCCGTGGAGCGAGACTGCTCAAGGCCTCCCTCACGGCCGCCAGGTCGGCCGTGGGTTGTGGCGGGTGGGGCGGCTGACGTAGGGCCGCCCACGCCGCTTGGGCGCGCTGTGTGCGCTGGGTGAGGGCACCGTGGCTCTTGACTGAGCAGTGAGCGCCTCGTGGTGGTCGCTGCTATGAGCATGCTAGAGGGGGAGTGGCGGTTGGGAGTCGCCGTGAGCACAGGGTGCTTGGGGCGCAGCGGTGGGCGCTCGACTGGTGTCGGCGCCTGGTTTGGTGTGCTGCTGGCTGGCGGGGTGCCGGGGCCCGTTTGGGCAGGGGTGGGGCAGGGACGCGGTGGGGTGCTTGATTACGACAGTGGTCTGGTGGCCATTGCGTGGCACCACAGGGCCCGTGGGAGGGGTCAGGTTCTGGACTGGACGGGCTTGGGCAATGTGGCCCGTTCGTCTGGAGGGACCTCCGCAGTGGAAATGGCCGCTCCGACGGTTCCTACAGTGGGGGCCCATGCCAAGAAACACTTTGCTTGCCTCCAGGTTTCCCTGGGTGCCCAGGCCCCCACTGTACGTCGTGACTCGTGGAACGGCAATCTGCTCTGGCATCCTATTGGTACCAGGGAGAGGGCGTGACGGTCCGTCGTCAACGTTATCTAAGGAACCACCGAGCCCGGGGGGTCGTCGTCCTCGTCGTCATGGTGGGGGGCCGCGGGGGTTCCTCCCAGAGGGCGTTAAGATTTGTAGGGTTGTGGGCGACGATCAATGGAGAGGAAACATGTTGCCACGCAATTTCCAGATGTTCAACAACACATTTTGAGCATGTTAAAACCTTTTCCGACATTGTAAACACATGTTTAATTCAATGATAAGGATAGTTTGGGTGTCCATTGCCATGGCATCCACAACGGTAGGGACCCCCTCGGGGTGGGGGTCCGTTTGTCCGCCTCCGCCCCTACCGGGAAGGTTTTGTCTCATGCGATCGAGCTCGGCTGCGGTGTAGCCGGCCCAACGGTGTGGTAGCGGCAGGGTGCGGTGTCGTTTGTCGTAGATGGGCGACGGCCGTCGTGTTGAGCGTGACGACGAAGCGGTGGGGCTGCTTAGGCTGTTGTGGAGGCTGGCGACTTCTGTAACCATGTGGTCGGCGTGGCGGTTGAAGTTTTCGGCCGTGACACAGATGAGCCCAACGTTTACCCAGTCGTCTCCGAGGTGGCTGGCGACTTTTTCTACACAGGCGACTTCAGGCTTGGCTCTGAGAACTCTGGCGATTTGGGCCCAGAGGTCGAGGTGAATCCGTCGACCACAGTTTGGTTGGCTACGAAAGCGTTTACAGGCCGTTCAGTGGTTCAGACCAGGTGGAGCGTCGAGCAGCGCGAGTATCTCGGCTCGCTGCGCGTTCTGGACACTGCCGTGCAAACGCGCGGCATCGAGTTGCCCATGTTTAACACCGTAGAAGACTCCGTAGGCCGCGCGGGCCATGAGAGCGTGCGATTGGTGTGTGTGTGTAGGCTCCGTCTGTGGCGACGTACACCCAGCGTCGACCCTAGAGAGTGAGAGATTGAGAGAGAGAGAGAACAAAACAAACATAAACAGCATCAACAGTTAACCCTGGCAAAGAACCCAACCATTTGCAGCTACGTGTATCGCGGGGCAGGTGAGACGAAGGAGGGCCGAAATGGGTGCGGTGCCGCCATGCGGACGCTGCCACTGGGGCCCTCGGCGGAGCTCCCCATGGGGCCACGAAGCGTGTGAGAGGTGTGGCGAAGTTAGCGCGGTGCCGCAATGTGAACGTTGCCTTTTGGGACCTTCGGCGGAGCTCCTCGTAGGGCCGCGAAACGTGTGACGGGCGTGCCGAAATCAGTGCGGTGCCGCCATGCGGACGCTGCCACTGGGACCTTCGGCGGAGCTCCGAAGCGTGTGAGAGGGGTGCCGACATGGGTGGCGTGCCGGCATGTGGGCGCTGCTACTAGGATCGTTGGCGGAGCTCCGTATGGGGCTCCGAAGCGTGCGAGAGGGGTGGCCAAATTGGTGCGGTGCCGTAGTGCGAACGTTGACATTGGGACCTTGAGCGGAGCTCCTTGTAGGGATGCGAAGCGTATGAAATTAGTGCGGTGCCACCATGCGGACGCTGCCACTGGGACCTTCGGCGGAGCTCCTTATGGGCTCCGAAGCGTGTGGGAGGGGTGCCGAAATCGGCGAGATTCCGCCAGGCGGACGCTGCCATTCGGGCCTCCGGTGGAGTTCTTATATGAGGCCACGGAGCTTGTGAAGGATGCTCCGGCATGTTTGACATGCGGAGGGCAGAGGCAGGGTGGGAGGATGGGGGGAGGAGAGGAGGGGAAGGACGCGGAGCGCTGTCTCTGCAAAACGATGGCCCAACATCACAGGATACCTTGGAGGGAAAAGAGAACACGAAAGAGAGAGAGAGAGAGAGCGAGACACCTACATAACACATAATTAAACAACAGGGAAGAGGGATAAGCATAAAGATAGAGACAGAGAGAGATATTGAGCACAAGAAGATCCGACAGAGGAGAGGAGGGGAGAGGAGAGGAGAGGCAGGATAGAGAGAGAGGGTTACAGGGAGGAATGTATACAGAGGATGGTCATGAGAGAGAACGAGACAAGGAGAGAGCGAGAGAGAGCGAGAGGCACAGACAGAACGAGGGGAAGGGCTCCCAGGCCTGGGGCCGTCGGGCGAGGTGCACCGCGGACTGCGGCGGCGGCCAGCAGCAGCGGACCCGGGCGATCCTCGTGAAGCCGAGGACGCCCGAGCGCACCCTGGGGGTCGACTGGCGGCCTCTACCCTCCACCCCCCTCAAGGGCTGGGCGTCGCTTGATGGAGGAGGAGGAGGAGGAGGAGGCAGAGGCGGAGGAGGAGGAGGAGGCGGAGGAGGAGGGGGAGGAGGAGGGGGAGGAGGGGGGGAGGAGGAATAGGAGGAGGAATAGGAGGAGGAGGAGGAGGAGGAGGAGGAGGAGGAGGAGGAGGGAGATTATCGAGGGAAGGGAAAGAGAGACGCACTCCTCGAGACCTAGAGGCCCCCTTTGGGACCCCAATGGGCCCCTGCCGGGGCCCCAGGTGGCTCTTTTTCTGCAGCACTCGCTGCCCCCCCATGCATCGCCCCCCTTTCCCCCCATTACGCGACGCCCCAAAGGGAGGATTGCCCTGACCTCATCGCGCCGTGAGAAGAACACTAGCGGGGGATGCTTGACCGTTTTGGGCTTCCTGGGGGTCGTCACTGGGCCCCCGTTGCCGCAGAGGAGAAGGAGGAGAAGGAATAGGAGGAGGAGGAGGAGGAGGAGGAGGGAGGAGGAGGAGGAGGAGGAGGAGGAGGAGGAGGAGTCGGGGGAGAGGAGGCGGGGGGAGGAGGCGGGGGGGAGGAGGAGGAGGAGGAGGAGGAGGAGGAGGAGGAGGAGGAGGAGGAGAGGAGGAGGAGGAGGAGGGAGGAGGAGGAGGAGGGAGGAGGAGGAGAGGAGGAGGAGGAGGAGGAGGAGGGGGGGGAAGGGGGAGGGGGGGAGGGGGAAGGGGGAGGGGGGAGGGACAAGCTATGTGCGCTCGCGTCATATCTGACATCCTACTCCTCCCTCCCATCCCTTACCATGGCGCAGATCCTCGCTCTACTCGCTCAGTCGGATGTCGAGCAGGCAAAGATCCCGAAAGGGTACGCGATGCATTGTAGAGCACGGCGTGGCATGGCGTAGAAGAGCACCGCAAAGCGTAGTATCAACCTAGCATTGCATTGCATGCCGTGGCATGGCACGGGAAATGACGCCAGCGCTGCAGCGGGAGCACGAGTCGGAACGAGCGGAAGCGCGGAAATGAGGCCAACGCTGCAGCAGGAGCACGATTCGGAACGAGCGGAAGCACGGAAATGAGGCCAGCGTTGCAGCGGGAGCACGATTGATTCGGAACGAGCGGGGCCCGAAAATGAGGCCGGCGCCTCAGCGAGAGCAGCATTTTGAAAAGCATGCAGGCGAAAACCCAATTCCAGGGAAACTTGTGTATACAAACAGTACGCGGGGGGGGGGTCGGCCACTTTAAAATCGTCATCAAGACAGTACGCGGGGGGGGGGTCGGCCACTTTAAAATCGTCATCAAGAGAAGAGGGAGAGTAGTAGTATTCATATTGAGGACTTGTGGAGGGGGGAGGGAGGTGGGAGGAGGAGGAGGGAGGAGGGAGGAGGGAGGAAGGAGGAGGAGGAGAGGGGGGAGGGAGGCAGGCAGGGAGGAGGCAGGAGGCAGGAGGCAGGAGGGCAGGAGGCAGGAGGCAGGAGGCAGGAGCAGGAGGCAGGATGCAGGAGGCGGAGGCAGGAGGAGGAGGGAGGGAGGAGGGAGGGGGGAGGAGGGAGGGAGGAAAGGAGGAGGGGGGAGGAGGAGGGAGGAGGACGGGAGGAGGAGGAGGAGGAGAGGAGGAGGAGGAGGAGGAGGGAGGAGGAGGAGGAGGAGGAGGAGGAGGAGGAGGAGAGGAGGGGGAGGGGGAGGGGAGGGGGAGGGGGGAGGGGGAGGAGGGGAGGAGGAGGAGGGGAGGAGGAGGAGGAGGAGGAGGAGGAGGAGGAGGAGGAGGAGGAGGAGGGGAGGAGGAGGAGGAGGGGGGAGGAGGAGGGGGAGTTGGGGAGGAGGGGGGAGAAGGGAGGGAGAGAGGGATGGGAGGGAGGGAGTAAAAAAACAAGACAGGGAGAGGAAGGAGGGAGGGAGGAGAGGGAGGGAGGGAGGGAGGGGAGGAGGGAGGGGGAGGGAGGGAGGGAGGGAGGGATGGAGGGAGGGATGGAGGGAGGGGAGGAGGAGGAGGAGGAGGGAGGAGGAGGAGGAGGAGGAGGAGGAGGAGGAGGAGTGAGAGGAGGAGGAGGAGGAGGGAGGAGGAGGGGAGGAGGGGGGGGGGAGGGGGAGGGGGAGGGGGAGGGGAGGGGGAGGGGAGGGAAGGGAGGGAGGGCGGGCGGGCGGGCGGGCGGATGGATGGAGGAAGGGAGGAAGGGAGGGAGGAGGAGGAGAAGAAGGGGGAGGTAGATCATCGAGGAAAGGGGAAGAGAGACGCACTCCTCGAGCCCTAGAGGCCCCCGGCAGGGGCCCCAATGGGCCCCTGCCGCGCCCCAGGGGCCTTTTTTTCTGCAGCCTTCGCTGCCCCCCCATGCATCGCCTTCCTTTCCCCCCATTGCGCGACGTCCCAAATGGAGGAAGGCCCTGACCTCCTCGCGCCGTGAGAAGAACACCAGCGGGGGATGCTTGACCGTTTTCCGCTTCCTGGGAGTCCTCACCGGGCCCCCGTGGCCGCCGATGAACGATCCAGGATGAATCGCTGGTCCCGGGGGGGCGCGGGTCGAGATTGTCCACGTTCCGTGAAGAAATTACGGTGTCGGAGGTCTGGCAAAGAGGGGGGACGGGGCGCCGCTGTCTTCCTCGCCTCGTCTCCGTTCGCTCTCCATGGCCGTGTCGCGTTCCTTCGCCTTTGCTCCCTCGGTCATGTAGCCTCCATTCGGTATGCGAGAACCGCAGAGTCGCGGGAGGAGGCGGTGGAGGAGAGGGCAGAGGAGTGAGGAGGAAGAGGAGGCGAGGTGGGGGAGGAGGAGGAGGAGGAGGAGGAGGAGGAGGAGGAGGAGGAGGAGGAGGAGGAGGAGGAGGAAGAGGAGGACGAGGTTGGGGAGGATGAGGAGGGGGATGAATGAGGAGTGAGGATAATTGAGGAGCGGAGAGAGGGGAGAGGATGTGGGGGCAAGCTAGGTGCGCTCGCGTCATATCTGACGTCCTGACCCGCCCTCCCATCCCTTACCATGGCGTAGATCTCCTCTCTATTCGCACAGTCGATGTAGTAGCAGAGCATAACTTTTCATGGCATAGCATGGTGTTGACGATCAACGCGTGTCCTGACGTAGCATGACGTGGCCACGCCTCAAAGTGGGGGGGGCTTCGGCGGTCAAACAAATCAACGAATCGACACCGAATGTGTTATCACTTCCGATGGTTGTTTCGGGGGGACCATTTTTTAGATTTTGGGGCCTATTTGGAATGACCGAAAACCATGCCGTGGCATGGCGCTGGAAATAATGACGCCAGCGCTGCAGCGGGAGCACGATTCGGAACGAGCGGAAGCGCGCAAATGAGGCCAGCGCTGCAGCGGGAGCACGATTTGGAGGGCGCGTAGCCTGTCATAGCATGGCGTGGCGACGCCCCAAAGGGGCTTCTGCGACCCCGAGAATCAACGAATCGACACCGAATGTGTATTCACTTCCGATGGTTGTTTCGGGGAGGCATTTTTTTGATTTTGGGGCCGATTTGGAAGGACCGAAAACCATGCCGTGGCATGGCGCTGGAAATAATCACGCCAGCGCTGCAGCGGGAGCACGAATCGGAACGAGCGGAAGCGCGGAAATGAGGCCAGCGTTGCAGCGGGAGCACGATTCGGAACGAGCGGTGGGCGCCTCAGCGAGAACAGCATTCTGAAGAAAACAAAGCGAAAATTTGCTTCCCAGGAGTCCCGCGTGAAAAACCAGTACGCGAAGGGGGGCCGGCCATTTCCCGGACGTCACCACCATGGGGAGAGGAGAGTAGTATTCATATCATGTGTAATTGTTTAAGGGGAGGGGGCCAGGAACGGCGGCGCGGAGTGCGACTCCGCCCTGGAGGAGCGGCCCTGCAACACGGGCTCCTGCAACAGGCGGCCACCCGCCCCGCACCGCCCCCCCCCCTTCGACCGCGAAGCCGGGTGCACTCGGCGCGTTCCGCAGCAGTCCTCGCCTTAGGCTTCTTCCGCCGTCGGCGGAAGGACGGCGGAGGGCTGGCGGCAGGCAGCGGAGGTAAGAGTGCGACATCAACTCTTCCGAGTTCAGGGTTCTGCGGAGCCGCCCGGCCCGGCATGGCTGGCCTTGGCAGGACCGTAGCGGCCAGCTTTCCAAGATTGTTGGCCCTTGGAGGCCGTCTCCTGGCCCAGGGGCCATCAAGCAACGACATGAGGATGAAAAGCCAGCCCCAGGGAAGGTGTCAAGATACCGGGCCAAGGGCAACGTCGGGAAATCGTCGGAGGCGTAGGAGAGAGAAGCACGAGGAGGAGGACCCCAAGACACCCTCCCCAGACAAGGCCTCTCCCCGCGAACTTTTCAGAACCACCCGAACGCCCTTCCATCCCTCCTGCCCTCATCCTCGTCTCTCCTTGTCCTCCTTTCTCATCCCTCCTCCTTTTCTTTCTGTCTCCCTTCTCCTCTCCTCGGAACGGGGGCGCTCCGGGAGCTCAGCGGCATATGTCCTCCTGCCTGCTCCTGCTCCCCCCCCGGGGGAGGAGGACAAACACGAGAGAAGAAAGGGAGGAGGCAAGAGGAGGAGGAGGAGGAGGAGGAGGAGGAGGAGGAGGAGGAGGAGGTTGAGGAAGAGGAGAAGGAGGAGGAGGAGGAGGTTGTCATAAACCCTCCCTCCAAGCTCCTTCTTCATAGGCCCCTACAAGGGTTCATTTCCACTGAGGGGACTGCCTCCTTGGAACACAACCGTTTGAAGACCCTGACGCATGCCACACATTATTCTCTTGCACAGGGTGTCTAGAGCTCCGACTGTTTTTTGTTCGCGACGCACCCCTCCCCCTTTTCGCGACGCACCCCTCCCCCCCCAGTGGGACCTCCCCAGCACCCCCCAGTGGCCCCCAGCGCCCCCCAGTCGGGCCTCCCCAGCCGCGCCCAGTGCCCCCTCCGCCCCGACGATTTTAGTTTTTCGCGACGCACCCCTCCTCCCCCCAGTGGGACCTCCTCAGCGCTCCCCAGTGGTCCCCAGCGCCCCCGAGTCGGGCCTCCCCAGCCACGCCCAGTGCCCCCTCCGCCCCGACGATTTCATTTTTCGCGACGCACCCCTCCTCCCCCCAGTGGGACCTCCCCAGCGCCCCAGTGGTCCCAGCGCCCCCCAGCGGTCCCCAGCGCCCCCCAGTGGGGCCTCCCCAGCCGCGCCCAGTGCCCCCTCCGCCCCGACGATTTTATTTTTCGCGACGCACCCCTCCCCCCCCCCTTCAGTGGGACCTCCCCAGCGCCCCCTCAGTGGTCCCCAGCGCCCCCCAGAGGGCCCTCCCCAGCCGCGCCCAGTGCCCCCTCCGCCCCGACGATTTTATTTTTCGCGACGCACCCTTCCCCCCCCCTCCCAGTGGGACCTCCCTAGCGCCACCCAGTGGTCACCAGCGCACCCCAGTGGGGCCTCCCCAGCCGCGCCCAGTGTCCCCTCCGCCTCGACGATTTTATTTTCGCGACGCACCCTCACCCCCCCAGTGGGACCTCCCCAGCGCCACCCAGTGGTCCCCAGCGCCCTCCAGTGGGGCCTCCCCAGCCGCGCCCAGTGCCCCCTCCGCCCCGACGATTTTATTTTTCGCGGCGCCCACCCTGCCCCCCCCTCCCTCCCCAGTGGGACCTCCCCAGCGCCCCCCAGTGGTCCCCAGCGCCAGTGGGACCTCCCCAGCGCCCCCCAGTGGTCCCCAGCGCCCCCCAGTGGCGCCTCCCCAACCGCTCCCAGTGCCCCCTCCGCCCCGACGATTTTATTCTCTTGCGCAGGGTGTCTAGAGCTCCGACCACTTTATTTCGGCGTCGTCGTCGCTCCCCCCCAGCTGCCTTGTGCCCTTCATGTGTCGCTATATGTGTCGCTGTGTGCCTTGTGCCCTTCATGTGCCGCTATATGTGTCGCTGTGTGTCGCTATGCGTCTCCATGTGTGCGTCGCAATGTGTCGCTGTGTGTCGCTATGCGTCGATATGTGTGTGTCGATATATGTCTCTATATGTCGACATGTGTCGCTATGTGTCGCTATGTGTCGTTCCCCAGCACCCCAGCGCACCGCCCCCTCCGCCCCGACGACTTTATTTCGGCGTCGTCGTCGCCCCCCCCCCCCTCTCCCTCTCCTCAGCAGCCCAGCGCGCTGCCCCCTCCGCCCCGACTATTTTTTTCGGCGTTGTGTCGACATGTGTCGCTATGTGTCGGTTTCCCCGGCACCCCAGCGCACCGCCCCCTCCCCCGGCCACTTTATTTTAGGCGTCGTCGTCGCCCCCCCCCCCCCCCCCCCCCCCCCCCCCCCTCTTCCCTCTCCTCAGCTAGACCAGGCGCGCTGCCCCTCCGCCCCGGCCACTTTATATTTCGGTCGTTTATGTGTCGACAGCGTCGCTATGTTGTCGCTCCCCAGACACCCAGCGCACGCCCCCTCCGCCCCGAGACTTCTATTCCGCGTCGCGTCGTCGCCCCACCCCCCTTCTCCTTTCCTCAGCATGCCCCAGCGCGCTGCCCCCCTCCGGCACGACCACTTTTTTCGGCGTCGTCGTCGCCCCCCCCGGTCTTTTTCCCCAGCAGCCCAGCGCACCGCCCTCTCCGCCCCGACCACTTTATTTCGGCGTCGTCGTCGCCCTATTTCGGCGTTGTGTCGACATGTGTCGCTTTCCCCAGCAGCCCAGCGCACCGCCCTCTCCGCCCCGACGACTTTATTTCGGCGTCGTCGTCGCCCTATTTCGGCGCTGTGTCGACATGTGTCGCTACGTGTCGCTCCCCAGCACCCCAGCGCACCGCCCCCTCCGCCCCGACCACTTTATTTCGGCGTCGTCGTCGCCCCCCCCCCCCCCCCCCCCCCTTCCCTCTTCTCAGCAGCCAGCGCGGATGCACCTCCGCCCGACACTTTATTTCGGCTCGTCGTAGCCCCCCCCCCCCACCGTGTCTTTTCCAGCAGACCAGCGCGCCGCCCTCTCCGCCCAGACCACTTTTATTTCGGCGTCGTCGTCGCCCCCCCCACCTTCTCTCCCGAGCAGCCGCCTGCGGCCGCCCCCCTCCGCCCCGACCACTTTATTTCGGCGTCGTCGTCGCCCCCCCTGGTCCTATTCCCCAGCAGCCCAGCCCAGCGCACCGCCCCCTCCGCCCCGACCATGTTATTCTCTTGCACAGGGTGTCTAGAGCTCCGACCATTTTATTTCGCGTCGCTACCCCCCCCCGCGTCCTCAGCGCCAGAGTGGGGCCCCCGCGCCGTGGCTCTCTGCCCCAAGCCCCCCCGCGTCCCCAGCGCCCCAGCGGGGGCCCCGCCCACTGCCCCCTCCGCCACGAACGCTTTATCCCGCGTCGCCCCCCCCCGCCCCCCCGCGCCCCCAGCGCCAGTGTGAGGCCCCCGCGCCGTGGCTTTCCGCCCCGAGCCCGCCGCGTCCCCAGCGCCCCAGCGGGGGCCACGCCCACTGCCCCCTCCGCCACGAACGCTTTATCCCGCGTCGCACCTCCCCCCCCCGCCCCCGCGTCCCCAGCGCCAGCGTGGGGCCCCCGCGCCGTGGCTGTTTGCCCCAAGCCCCACCGCGCCCCCAGCGCCCCAGCGGGGCCCCCGCCCACTGCCCCCTCCGACACGAACGCTGCATTACGCGTCGCCCCCCCCCCTCCGCGCCCCCAGCGCCAGAGTGGGACCCCCGCGCCGTGGTTCTCCGCCCCGAGCCCCCCCGCGTCCCCAGCGCCCCAGCGGGGGCCACGCCCACTGCCCCTTCCGCCACTAACGCTTCATCCCGCGTCGCGCCGCACACCACCTCCCCTACCTCCCTCCCCGCGTCCCCAGCGCCCCAGTGGGGGCTCCGCCCCGTGCCCCCTCCGCCCCGACAATTTTATTCCGCGTCGCGACGCACGCCACCTCCCACCTTCCCCCCCTTTCCCCAGCGCCCCAGTTGGACCCCCACCCCGTGGCCCTCTGCCCCAAGCCCCGCCCAGTGCCCCCTCCGCCCCGACAGCTTATTCCGCGTCGCGGCACACACCACTCCCCCTCCTCTCCGCGCCCCCAGCGCCCCAGTGGGACATCCGCCCCGTGCTCCCTCCGTTCCGAGCACTTTATTCCGCGTCGCGACGCACGCCGCCCCCCCCACCTCCCCACCTGGGACTCGGGCCCCGTTGCTGATCAGTGGGCGATGCCTTGCCCCTCTTCCCCCCTCCTCCTCCACCTCCTCCTCCGCCTCCTCCTCCTCCTCCTCCTCCTCCTCCTCCTCCTCCCCCCCCTTTTTTTTTGTGCAAGGGCTATGGCACACGTGCCACTTGTTCTCGGGACTCCAACGCCAAGGATCAACCTGCTTGCTGCAGCTTGGCGATCCTGAACCGTGCCCAAACGCAATTCCTGAGGTTTGAATGCTGCGAATCAACTGGCTGTTGCACCTTCATGATCCTGAATCGTTCCAAAACACAACTTCTGGTGCGCTGACCATGGGAATCCGTGAAACTCTTTCGTTTTGCAATACGAATGCACGCGCCGCTAAGGCGAGAGCCACATGTTGAAAAGGTACCGCCCTCAATCCGTGGAACTCTTGCAAATGTTTACGACGAATGTGCGCGGCGCTAAGGCGAGAGTCACATGTTGAAGACGACCCGCCCTCAATCCGTGAAATTTTTGAATTGTTATTGCACAGCGAATGCGCGCGGGGCTATGGCGAGAGACACATTTTGAAAACGGCCCGCCCTCAATCCGTGAAATTTTGAATTATTGCACAACGAATGCGCGCGGGGCTAAGGCGACATTGCAAACGTTTTGATTACGAATGAATGTGCGCGGCGCTAAGGCGAGAGACACACTTTGAAAACGGTTCGCTCTCCATTTGTTCAACTGTTGCCAATGTTGAAGCTTCAAGGTCATAAATTGTGAGGAAGTCTCGGCGGAACGCAGGGCCCGCCCTAAAAAATGGCTTCGGGGTGCGACAGTGAGAAGGAGTGGAAAAGGATGGGGAGGAGGAGGAGGAGGAGGAGGAGGAGGAGGAGGAGAAGGCGGCGGAGGAGGATGGAGGAGCAGGAGGAAAAGGAGGCGGAGTGAGGAGGGAGGAGGCAGGAGGGAGGAGGGAGGAGGCTGGAGGCAGCAGGGAGGAAGGAGGAGGAGGAGGTGGAGGAGAGGAGGAGGAGGAGGAGGAGGAGGAGGAGGGAGGAGGAGGGGGGAGGGAGGAGGGAGGAGGGAGGAGGGAGGAGGAGGAAGGAGGGAAGAGGGAGGAGGGAGGAGGGAGGAGGGAGGAGTGAGGAGGGGATGAGAGAGGAGGAGGGAGGAGGATGAGGAGGAGGAGGAGGAGGAGGAGGAGGAGGTTGAGGAGGAGGAGGAGGAGCAGGAGTAGGAGGAGGAGGAGACAGGAGGGAGTAAAAGGGAAGAGGAGAGGCAGGAGGCAGGAAGGCGGCGAGGCAGGAGGCAGGGCGGGCGGAGGAGGCAGCGGGGGAGGGGGCGGGCGGCGGCGGTCGTCGCGCCACGGCAGGGACTGCGTGCTGGACCACTGGACCGAGTGGGCTGGGTGTTCGGCGGCCTGCGGCGGCGGCGTGCGAAGCCGGGTGCGGCCCAGGGGGCGGGGGTCAGAGGCGACGATGTGCCAGCCACGCGCGGAGGGGGGTGGGTTGGAGGGGGGAGGGCTTTTTAGAAGTGCCCCTGCTTCTTAGAAGGCGCGGGCCTTATCTATAGATGGAGGGACGGCGAGTTCTGAGAAGCAGCCTCCTCCTAAGAAGCCCCCCCCCTCCCTCCACCCCCTTGTGCGCGCTGCCAAATAGGGGCGAATAGCCCAGGGGAGAGCGAAACATGCAGGTGATGGCAAACATGGATCAAGGGGGCGTGGATTAGCGACGGGTCCCGTTTCCGTGGGAAATCTGGTTTCCCGCAGCCGAGCGAGGTGGCACCGACCGCATTTTGGGGAGGGCATTTCCCCCGATCCATGGATTTGGCGACCGCGCGCCAAATCCATGGATTGATAGCGCGCCCCCGAGATAAATGTATCCAGGGGCGCCGATGATCCAGGTCTTCAGCGAGGCTCCCGGGCGAAAGCATGGAAGGCCCAGCCCTGGGTTATGGCGGCCCAGGAGGCGGGGGGTCGGGGAGGCCCAGACCACCTCGCGTAGTGACATACATCGCGAGGGGACATGTTTCGCTATTTTCGGCCTCTGGGGGCCCTTGCTGGGCCTCGGGACCGTCGAACCACGACTCCGGATGAAACACCGGGCCTCGGGGAAGGGGTCCAGATCTCTGGGGGGCGATGCTGCGAAAAGTTCACGCCGTCCGGGGGTTCTGGGGGGGCGGCTCGCGCTGCCGAGGGGGGCGGGGTCGGCCAGGGCTGCTCGCGGTCCGAGATCCTTCCCGGCATCGGAGGTCCGATCCGGGGTGCCCTGGTTGCGATCTCGAGCGCAATCCGATGCGGCGCTCTGCGAGCCCCTCTGCAGCCTGCAGGGGGGCAGGGGCCGGGCCCGATCCGCCATCGCGAGCTGTCCGAGTCCGATCATCCCGTCCCGCGCCGATTCGGGCGCGATCCGATGCGTTTCCGGCATGAGCCGATGTCGCGGTCCGATGCAGCCTCAGGCCTGCGATCCGATTTCGCGATTGGGTCCAGCTCAGGGTTGTCGGTCGGCGCCGTCAGTGGGGCACCGTCGCAGTGGAGGTAGAAGATCGCAGAATCGGGAAGAGCGCTTTCTGACGCTACTGGCAAGCCCCTCTTTCGGTTCGACTGGGAGAAGGGGGGGCAAAACAGTCTCCCCCTCCGAAACAGAGGGTGGGGGGACCCCCCCTGGGTTCCAACCGGGAGGGGGGATGGGCGGGGTTGAGAGGGCCCCCTTCTCCCCAGTTCAGACCCAGGAGGGGGGGAACAGGGGGGGAGTTCCATTACAGCCGGACCCAGCCCTGCTAGGACTCGATTAGAGCTGGACCTAGCCTTTGTAAGAGTCGATTGAAGTTGGATCGGGCACAATAAGGGTTGTATTAAGGTTGGATTGAGCCTTACGAGGGTTCTTTTCGAGCTGCATCCAGACCAGAGTAGGGTCCGATTGGAGTTGAACCGATCACTCTCATATCAGAGCTGGTTCCAACCCATAGTAGGATTCCATTGAACTTAGAACGGCCCTGAGTAGGGTTATATTTCGGTTGGATCGAGCCCGACAAGGGATCCATTAGAGTTGCGTCCAGACCATAGCAGGCAGGATCTTATTAGAACTGAACGAAGCACTAGTAGGATCCTACAAGAGCTGGATCCAACACATGGATTCTATTGAAGCTGGACCAGGCCCGAGTCGGGCTGTATTAAGATTAGATCGAGCCCGACTAGGGATAAATTAGAGCTGCATCCAGTCCACAGTAGGATCCCAGTATAGTGTAGTCAAGCACCAGTATTATGATATCAGAGCTGGGTCCAACCCATGGTAGGATTCGATTGAAATCGGATCACACCTTGCTAGGACTATTAGAGTTGGATCCAGCCCTAGTGGTAGGATCCGATTCGAGCCTATTTAATGCGCTCCGCCCCGTTTCCCGCTTCGATCCGGGGTGTGTTTGTTCTGCCCCCCCCTCTTTTCCAGGGAGGGAAGATATCCCCCCTTCCTGGTTTCCCGGAGGGGGGTGGGATCTTCCGTTCCAATCAAGCGACGGTAGATCGCGTTCCCTCGAAGATCGAGGAGATGGAGATCGAATTCGTATATGATGACATGCGAATGTCGAGGTCGAAGGGTTGTGGGGATCAACGTGAAGATCGGGATCGAGGGGATGAAGATCGGCGCACCCCTCACACATGGATCGTGCCCCGCAATGAGCTCCACCTGCGGCCTTGGCGTGAGCGTCCCCACGTGCTGTCCTCCGGCCCACTGCGGCGCATTCCTCTCGCGAATCGCGCCCCGCAGAGAAGCAGCAAGGAGAAAAAGATCGAGGATCGAGGTCGAGGAGTTGAGGACCGAATAGCGAAATCAAAATCGAGGTCGAAGGGTCAATGATATCGTTGATCTAAGTTGGAAGATCGAGGTGTAATTCAGGGTTTGCTGACATTCTGTCGTAATCCCCACCCTGTGGTGTTGGGTCCTCGTGTCCTCTCCGCTGCGCCCCTCGTCGCCGTCACCCTTTCCTCCAGCATCTCCCTCCTCCCCTCCTTGCCCGCCGCCCTCCTCCTCCCTCTTCCCGCGTGCGCCCCCCCCCCCCCCCCCCCCCCCCCCCGCCCACTTCGACACGCCCCTCCCGTGCCTCGTGCCCGCCACGGGGAGCTCCACACGCCTCGTGCCCCCCCGAGACGGCAGTTCCGCCTGCGGCCCCAGCGGGCGCGGGCGCGTGCCGACGTCCCCCCCATGCCGACACGTACGCTTGGCATCGCTCGGACGTGTTCATTTTTCCTTCGGCGAGGACCATCGAGGAGCATCCTTGATCATTTGGCGAAAAAACACGCACGAAGCCGAACAAAAACACAGGGAATGGACGTCCGAGCGATGGCCAGCACGCGCACACACGTGTTGGCGTCGCCGGCCCTGCGCGCAGCGACAGGGCGGAGAGGCACACTCGACGAGCGCGTTCCACCGTTCGCAAAGTGCCTGCGCGCCAGCGCCTGGGAGGAACAAAAAAACATACGTGTCTTCCTCGATATAGTGGATCGTAGAACCCCCGCGGCGGATCCAGGCCATTTGCGACGAGTTACTTTGCGAGGAGTAGTGGAACGAGCTTGTCTACACGCACAAACACACAAACACACACGCGCACACACACACACACACACTCGCACGCACGCACGCACGCACGCACCACACAAGTACACGTTTCGTGCTCCCCATAGGCGCGCGGCGTCGCCCCGCTGCGCTGCCGGCTTCGCTGCCGGCCGTCGGGGCGGCCCGGATGGGCATGATGCCGCCCAGTGGCCGCAGTCTCACGTTCTCCATGCGCGCGCGTGGCGGGACGGACGGCCCTGCTTCCTGGGGCTGCACACGGGGGCTACACGTGAGCGGCGCAGAAGAACGGGGTCGTTGGCGCCGACATTCGCGCGCAAGTTGCCCGCGTAAGGTCGCGCGTGAGTGCCCTCGTTCCCAATGTGGCGTGCCGCGCTGGCGGCCCGCGTAAGCCGCCGCGGAAGGTCGCGGTGCCACCTCGCGTAAGGCCCGTCTCCTCTCGTCGCTCACATGGGGTCCAGTCGTGGGCTGTCCACATAGGGGCTAGACTTGGGGGCTACACACGTGAGGGTAGTTCGCCCGCGACGCCCCCAGCCCCCCCCCCCCACGTGTTCGTCCTGGCCCTCGTGCTGATCAGTGGGTGTGGGTGTGTGCGTGTACTTGCTGACCGCGTTGGAAGTAGGAGGAATAGGCGGAGGAGGGGGGGAGGGAGGAGGGAGGAGAAGGGCCCTCCGCCTCCTCCTCCTCCTCCGTACCATCATCATCATCATCATCATCATCATCATCATCATCATCATCATCATCGTCATCATCATCATCATAGTCATAGTCATACTCATACTCATACTCATCACCGTCATCATCATCTTCATCATCATCGTCAACACCATCAGCATCATCATTATCATCATCACTTATCCCTCCTCATCATCATCACTAAAAGCAGCATCATCATCCTCATCATCACCACCATCCTCGTCATCATCATCATCATCAGCATCATCATCACTGGAATCAGCATCATCAACATGATCAGCATCATTATCATCATCAGGATCCTCATCTGCATCTTAAACCACGTCATCATTACCATCATCAGCATCACCATCATCATCACCATCACCTTCATCGTTATCGTCATCATCATCAGCAGCAGGAGCATCGTCGTCGTCAGCAACATCATCATCAGCAACATCATCCTCATCAACATCATCATCACCACCATCGCCATTATCATCATCATCACCAGCGCCATTATAATCATCACCATCATCATCACCAACGCCATCATTATCGTCATCAACATCATTAGCTTCATCACTAACATCATCAGCAGCAGCATCATCCTCATCAGCAGCATCAGCATCATCATCCTCCTCGTCATCATCACCACCATCATCACCGTCATCAGCATGACCACCACTATCATCATCAGCATCATCGTCATCATCATCACCACCATCATCACCATCATCCTCATCATCCTCAGCATCACCATCAGCATCATCATCGTTACCAGTATCACCATCATCATAGTCGTCACCATCATCATCACCATTATCATCACCACTATCATCACCATCATCATCATCATCATCGTCGCCGCCGCCGTCGCGTCGTCGTCTCCGTTTTCGTCTCCGTTGTTGTCATCGTTGTCGTCATCGTTATCGTTATCACTCTCTCCCTCCTCCTCCTCCTCCTCCTCCTCCTCCTCCTCCGCCTCCTCCTCCTCCTCCTCCTCCTCCTCCTCCATCTTCCCTCCCATCCGCCCTCCCTCCGAGGGGGAGGGCAGCGGCTGGAGGGCCCCCCGCGAGGCGCGCGGCGTGCTCGCCCCCATCCGCGCCCTGGGCAAGTGTCCGGCCGAGACGCACCCGGACAGGCTCGAGGCCCCCGCTGCGCCGCCCTCTGCGCCGCGCCGACGTGCCCCGCGCCGCGCTCCTCGGCAAGGCCCCATGAGGTCCGGGCGTTGGCCCGTCGTGGAGCCTGCGCGAGGCCGCCGCGCACGCGGGCGCCCTCGGGGCCACGGCCCTCGAGGCGGGGCGCGAGCGCCTCGCCCGCCACCTCGCGGGCCTCAGAGACGAGTGGGTGCACATGGCCCGAGTCTCGGTATCGCTCGGACGCGTGCACTTATTTTCTCGGCGGGGCGTGTTGAGGAGCATCCTGGATCATCTTGCGAGAAAAAAACACGCACGAAACCGAACAAAAGCACAGGGAATGGACGTCCAAGCGATGGCCAGGAGTCCGCGACGAGAACCGGTTGCGCGCGCCGAGTTTTCGCACCGGGCGTGTTTTCGCCCGGTTGTCGGGCCCCAGGGCCATCACAGACCGATCCGGTTCACGAGTGCCGCGGGAAGGTGGGCTCTAGGGTTGAGTCGGGCCTGTCCCTTGGGGAAAATTCCAAAATGGTCAAAAAATGGTCTGGGGACTATCTTTCGAGTATTCTGAAAATTCCAAAATAGTCAAAAAGATAGTCGGGGGACTATATTTCGAGTATTTTTGGGCATTCTTATAGTGGCTTTTGGCCTTTTTGATTTTTCGCCTAAAATCCCCCTGTAGGGGGACATGCCCGACCTAACTCTAGGGCTCCGGTGGTGATTTGTCACCGTGCGGCAGCTTCTTCGCAGCGCCGGATCTCAGGGGTGAGCGCTTCGTGGGCGTTTCGTGGGCGCCCCGGTGCGCCGGCGGGGTCCGCCGAGGTTTCGCCCGCTGGACGGCCGTGGGCACCCCCCGTGCGCCGGATGGGTCCGCCGAGGTTTCGCCTCTGGACGGCCGCTTTGCTCCTCCTGGGCGGCCGTGGGCACCTCGCGCGGGCTTCCCCCTCTCCAACCATGAAGAGACAGGGAGGTCCTGAAGCCCGAAGCCCATCTTCGGAAGTTTTTGGGGGGTGGTTTCGCTGGCTCTCCTGGAGGTGCTCTCGCCTCGGCCTGCGTGCCAGCAGCGGCGCCTCGCCTGGAGCGTCCTGGGGGTGCCCGAGCGTCCCGGACGGCCACCAGAGGCCCAAGCTGTGGCCCGGAGGCCACCAGGCCCAGGCCCCTTTCGATCCCGGTTGAGCTTGTGTTGGGCGTCGAGCGCGCGTTTGCTCCTGGCTGCACGGCGCGCGCTACCAGCAGCCCCGTGCGCTCGACTGCACGATAGTGTTCGATGCAGAACGCCGCGTGTGAGTGTGTGTGTGTGTGTGCGTGTGTGCTTGTGTGTTGTGTTCGTATGGTTGTGTGTGCGCGTGTCTGTGCGTGCGTTGCGTTTGTGTGTGTGTGTGTGTGTCTGTGCGTGCGTTGCGTTTGTGTGCGTTTGTGTGTGTGTGTGTGCGTGTGTGTGTGTAGGTGTGTGTGTGTGTGTGCAGTTTCCGCCTCCAGACACGCGACACGCTCTGAGCCGAGGCGGGTCCGATCCGATCCCCTCTCTCATCCCATTGTCCCAGGAGCTCCCAGCGTATGGACAGGAGCCCCTCGGGGGACCTCCTGCGCAACCAAAAAGGGCGCGTCCGCAAGTGAGGCCCCGGCACTCGGCGAGGGGCTTCGCCTGGTGTTTGGCTTCGAGATGCAATGACCGAAGCTTAAGGCGGGCATGTCCCTCTTCAGGAGGATTATTCACAATTAGTCGAACAATAGTCTGGAGACGATGGGTTGTTATTTTGTCATGTTTGAATATTTCCTGGCGATTTTTAAATTTTCGTCCAAAATCCACCTGTAGGGGGACACGCCCGACCTAAACCCAGGCTGAAGAAGCGGCGCGTAAGAGCGGCCTTTCGCCGGAGTGATCTTCTGTGCACGAGGTTCGGGCAACACGGGGTTGGCATCACCGAGGCACGCAAGGCGCTCCCATCAAGCTGTGTGCTGCGATCGGCAAGCCGCGCACCAACGGCTAGTCTTGCCGAGGATAACTCTGGCGTGTAGCTGGAGGACGGTGAAGGAGGAAACACATTGCTGATGATGATGATGATGATGATGATGATGATGATGATGATGATGATGATGATGATTAGGATGATGCTGGTGCTGATTATGATGATGATGATGGGCAAGAGGAGGAGGAGGAGGAGGATAATGAGGATAATGAAGCTGATGAGGATGCTGAGGATGATTAGGATGATGATGATGTTGATGATGAGGATGGTGATTGGTGATGGCGATGGTGATGGTGATGGTGGTTGTGATGATGGGGATGATGATGATGATCATCGCGATGATGATGACGATGATGATGATGATGATGATGTTGATGATGATGATGATGATGACCATGGTCAAGGTCATGGCCAAGGTCCACGTCATTGCCATGGTTATGTTGATGATCATAGTCATGGTCAACGTGAAGGTGTAGGGGGGAGGGTGGATGGGAGGGAAGGGGAGGGGGGGGGACAGGACTCAGATGGAGGAGGCCGAGGAAACGAGGGATGATGTGGATAATGGTGATTCTGATGTTGATGGTGGTGGTGATGAGGAGGAGTAGGAGGAGAAGGGAGACATGATGATGAGGGGGAGGAGGAGGGTCCGTCTCCTCCCTTCTCCCCCCCACTCTCATTCCTCCCTTGCATCCTAGTGCCAAAGCGGTCAACACATGCACGCACACACCTTCACCCGTTGATCAGCACGCAGAACAGATGGTAGTGGTGGTGGTTGCGATGCTGGTCGTTTTGATCATGATGATCATGATGATGATGATCATGATGCTTATGCTGATGATGATGATAATGCTGATGCTGATGATAATAATGATGATGAAGATGATGATGATGATCATGATGAGGAAGAGGAGGCGGAGGGGGCGGAGGAGAGTGCAGATGAGGATGAGGATGAGGATGAACACGATGATGATGCTGAAACCGAGGATAATGATGTTGATGATGCTGATGATAATGCTGATGATGATGATGATGATGATGATGATCGTGATAATGATGGTGTTGACGATGCTGATGGTGATGGTGATGATGATTCTGACGATGACGATGATGACGATGACGATGATGACGACGATGATGACGTTGATGCTGATGGTGATGATGATGATTATGGTGATGCTGATGCTGATGATGATGATGATGATGATTATGATTATGATTATGATGGTGATGACGACAATGATGATGCTGCTGATGATGATGATGATAATGCTGATGCTGATGATATTTATGATGATGATGATGATGATGAGGATGATGATGATGATGATGATCATGATGAGGAAGAGGATGAGGAGGAGGCGGAGAAGAATGAGGATGAGGATGAGGATGAGGATGAACTTGATGATGATTCTGGAACTGAGGATGATGAGGCTGATGACGACAATGATGATGATGATGATCGTGATGATGATGGCGAAGTTGACGATGCTGATGGTGATGGTGATGATGATGCTGATGACGATGATGACGATGCCGATGATGACGACGATGATGACGTTGATGCTGATTGTGATGATGGTGATTATGATGATGCTGATGCTGATGATGATGATGGTGATGATGACGATGATGATGCTGATGCTGATGATGATGATGATAATGTTAATGATCATGATGGTGATGATGCCGATGATGATGGTGATAAGGATGGATGATGTGGATGATGTGGATGATGATGCTGATGCTGATGCTGATGATGATGATGGTTTTGGTGGTGGTGATGGTGATGGTGATGGTGATGACGATGTCGATGATGGTGGCGATGACGATTACGATGACGGATCCGATGACGATGACGATGATGACGCTGATGATGCTGATCATGATGGTGATGGTGATTGTGATGATGATAATGATGATGATGCTGATGCTGATGATGATAATGAGGATGATGATTGTAATTATGCTGCTGCTGATGCTGATGCTGATGATAATGATTGTGATGGTGATGATGATGATGGTGATGGTGTTGGTGATGGTGATGATGATGATTGTGGTGGTGATGGTGGTGGTGATGAGGAGGATGAGCAGCAGCAGATAATCAGATGCACAGGTGGCTTGGCCTCAAGGGGATGGGCCAAGCCGCGAAGCCAGGGCGTCACGTCGTTGGGTGGTCGTGGGCGCGGCCGCCGTGGCCGTGGTCGTGCCCGCAGCCGCGGCTGCCTCCCTTCTCCATCTCCTTGTCCTTCTCTTCCTCCTCTTCCACTGTTGTCCCTTTTCCGCCTTCCGAGGCAGACCCCGGCCCAGCCAAGCTACTCTCCCGCTCCCCCTCCTCAGGTTCTGCTTCGAATCGATCGATCTGTCTCGCTGTCGATTTCGGCCGGCCCGATCCGACTCGATTCCGGTTTTCCGCCGATCCTATGCGGTCCGAGGCTTGCACGGCGCTGCTGTTGCGTCGTGGCGCCGCCGCTCCGGCTTCCATGTGGACTGCGTGCCGCTGCGGGCCGAGCCGTCGCACGAACATCGGATTCTACCCCGCTGTTCCGCTTCGAGGCCGACTGATCCTGCCCCCCCCCCTACAGTGGAGACCCATGCCAAGAAACACCCTGCTTGCCTAAAGGGTGCCCTGGGTTTCTTGGGTTTCGATGGTTCTGCGATGGACAGCGTGACGTTCCCACACCAATAATCAGGGAACGCCCTGGGGTTCCAGGATTGAGTTTCTTGTGGAAGGTTTCTTGTGGACTGGCCTCCACTGTAACCCCTCCCCTCGTCGTTCCGCCGCGCCACCCCCCCCTTCCCCTGATGGGTCTGTTTTCCACCACCACCACCAGAAGTCGGAGGGGGGAAGGCTGTGGAGGAGGAGGAGGAGGAGGAGGAGGAGGAGGAGGAGGAGGAACCCCTCCCCCTCTCCTATACTGATGGTGGTGGCGGTGGAATACAGGCCCGCCACTCGTCGCTCTGCCGCGCCCCCCCCCCCCCTCCCCTGGCGCTCGAGGAGGAGCAGTGCAACACCCAGGCGTGCTACGGCGACGAGGCGGGCGCGTGCGCTCTCCGCGCCCCCGTCTCCCTCGCTGGGCCGCCGCCCCGCCAGCCTCTCGGCCGCCTGGCCCCGCCCGGGGAGCGCCGACTGGCCTGCCCGTGGGGCTCTCCCGGGCCTCCCAGGCGGGGTCCGAGCAAGAGATTGGGGCGGAGGATCGCGCCGCGTCGCCGCTGCACCGACGATGCGGCTCGACGCGGAGCCCGATTTTCGCCACGCCGAGGGCGCCAATGCATCGCCGGCGCGTCGCCGGTGCATCGCCGGTGCATCGCTGGTGCACCGGCGATGCATCGGCTCGGCGACGCATTGGCGACGCATTGGCGATGCTGCGCGATCCTTCGACCCCGTCTGCTCTGGAACCCTATCTGGGAGGCCTCTGGTGCTCTGCCCTCCCAGCGGTCGGGCGCCCGCTCGGAGCCGCTGCCCGCGGCCGTCGCGTGCCCCCACGGCGGGTTCGCATCGGGCCGCCCAGCGGCGACGCCGCCGCTGGCGGTCCACCGTGAACTCGCCGTGGACGGCCCAGAGTCGGTCGACGTGGAAGGATCTGGCGCTGCGGAAACGGCCGAGCGCTCAAGTCTGAACGATCCCCGCGATGTCAGGAAGCGCGGCGCCGGGTTCGGCACGACGCGACTCTGCTGTACCTGACTGGCGCTCGTGACGTGCGGCGCGATACTGGCGGCGTCATGTTTTGTGCCAGCGACGCTACCCAGATAACACGCGTCACTCAACTATGCGAAAGCAAAGAAACTCGAGCTCCAGGCTAGCCAGGCCGCGCGCTCGGCCAGCCGTGTCCGGCGGGGCAGTCGACCCGTCGCGCCTGGGCTATGGGTCTCAATGATTGAGCTGTTGGCGGCTGCTTCGACGGGGCGATGACTCAGTGCTTGTGATCCCCTCGCCATGACGGGGAAAGGGTCCGGAGGGAAAGGAAAATGGGCCTCAATGATTGAGCTGCTGGCGGCTGCTTCGACGGGGCGATGACTCAGTGCTTTGTGATCCCCTCGCCATGACGGGGAAGGGGTCCGGAGGGAAAGGGAAAAGGGCCCCGAGGTTTTGTTTGCCGCGTTCGGCCACCCAAGCGCCCGGCCTGGGCCCCGGGTCTCTCGGGAAACGATTCTCTCGGAAAACGATTCGGGTTGAACAGCCGACCCTATGGTAAAGTCGGGCATGTCCCTCTACAGGAGGAATTCTCAAACATAGTCAAAAAAAAGATTGCGACGATTTCCGACAATTTCTGACTATGTTTAAGCATGTTTTGATTGGTTCTTTCCTCGAGAATCCTCCTGTACAGGGACATGCCCGACCTAACCCTATGGGAAGCCCTGGGGTCGAGGACCCGTGTCCCTCGGAACCTTTATTCATGTGCTTGGTTTGCGCACGCGTCATTCAGCGTTGTCTGGACCGACCAGTGATTTTTGTTTTCAAGTTCAAGGCCTCGTCATCTCTCATCTCCTTGTTCCGATTGTCGCATTGCCTCGCTCTCGTTCGCACTCGCTTACGTGTCGTGAGTTGCCTTTCTTCCAAACGTGGCCTGAATGACTTGGCATTGCGATCACAAGCACCCGCGGGCACACGCGTGTGATTGCAAAGATGCCGTACAACCCTCGTTGATTGCACATTATTGACTTGACCACCATGCTGAATTCCGGTGGCCAATCGCCCGATGCCGACTGTGTTTGGAGGGGGGTACATTGAGAGGGCCGGCTCGCGCAACCGCGCTTTGCACATAGTCTCTGGGCTTCTGCTTTTTCGGCGCCCCTCGCCTGCGCCTGCCCACCGCCGCCACCGCTGCGGAGGGGTGCCCAGGGATACGGGGGAGTGGAGCGGATATCCACGTCCACCGCTTCTCAGTGGCACAGCGCAGAAATTCAGAAGTTGGGTGCATCGAAATCTGTCGGGCGGGGGGGCGGGCGGTCGTTCTGGTTGGAGTATGGAGTATGCGCCGACGAGTTCCCGGAAACGGCACCTTGCTAGTTGCTTAGGGACACGGAAAACCAGGAGGAGGAGAGGGGGGGGCGGCCGGGGAGGACGCTGACGAGGACGCCGACGAGGTGCGCGAGGAGGACGAAGGCTGGCAGGAACGGGCCGAGGAGGGGCCCCGCTGCCACCGTCCCGGCCCGGCCCGAGGTCTGCGTCGCGAAGCAGGACCTGGTTGTGGCGATCGACGCAAGCGGATCCGAGGACGGGCCCCAGCTCCGACCCCGGGCCCCCCACGGCCTCGGGGGGGCGGCCTGACCGACCCGTGGCAAGCCGACCCCTTTCAGCGACCGTGACGCCCCCCCCGCCCCGCTCCACGACGCGGCGGGTCGCCGGAGGGGGAGCCAGGAGGAGGAGGAGGAGGAGGAGGAGGAGGAGGAGGAGGAGGAGGAGGAGGAGGAGGAGGAGAAGGAGGAGGAGGACAAGGAGGACAAGGAGGACAAGGAGGACGAGGACAGCCTCTTGGAGACCCCTTGGGACATTTGTGGGTGCTCTTCGGGTTCTGTTGGCTGTTTTGGGAGATCTAGGGGTCCTCTTGGGGCCCTCTTGGAGTCCTCTTGGGGGTCCCTTGGGGGCCTCTTGGAGTCATCTTGGAGGCAATCGATCAACAGGTGGTGTCCCCGATTTGCCTTGCTCACCTGGGACCATCAACATCGCCTCTGAGGCGCTCTTGGGGCCGCCTGGGGGGCCTCTTGGGCCCCTCTTGGGCCTCTTTTGAGCCATCTCGGGGCCATCTTGAGGCCTCAAAAGCGCATCGGCAGCGAAACTGCAAGAAGGGTTTGGGCCTCTTGGGGTGTCCTCAGGGGACTCCGAGAGCACTTGGAACCATCTTGCTGCCCTCATCGGGCCTCTTGGACGTATTTCGGAAGCTGCCTTGAACCATCGTCGGCTATGGGCCATCTTGGAGGGATGCCATCTTGGAGCATCGCAGGCCCTCTTGGAGCCATCTTGGGCTATCTTGAACGCTCTAACCGATCGCGGCCCGCTCTGGAAGACCTCGGGGAGGGATGGGGGGGGGCAAGCCTCCTGGACGGGAACAGGGTTTATTCGAAGGGAGGAGAAATCGCAAGACCACCTTAGCCCAAAAGGGCCTGTGGGATTAAGAACCCCTATGTGCAAGCACTGTTTGGGGAAGCAGTCTCGCGGGGCTCTGGGCAATGGACATACCCAACAGAAGACAGACGTAGACAACTCGAAGGGACCTGGGGGCACCCCATGCAGTGCCTATGGCACGATGCCAGACCCTTAGGTGTTCAACGTTTTTCGCCTCGGAGGGCCGCGCTGGAGGCCTCTTCGGGCGTCTCTTGGAGGCTCCTGTGGACCTTCTGGGGGGATCTTGGATCCTGTCGGAGCTTGTTTTAAGTCGGGCGTGTCCCTCTACAGGGGGAATATTCAAAAATAGCCAAACAAATACTCCAGTGACGATTTTTTGTCTGTTTTTTAGCTCTTTGGGAGTATTGTTGGAGTATTTTTTATTTTTCATCCAAAATTCGCCTGTAGGGGGACACGCCCGACTTGAGAAGCTTGTTGCTCCGTGTTTGGATGGTCACAATCAAGTTGTAGCTGGCTTGCGCCTCCCACTAAACCACCCCAGCCCAACCCCAAGGTCCCAATGTGCCCTCCATTTCCAGCGGGGGGGCGTGAAAGAACAGTGAAGAAACACATGGAACCCGTACCCCTGGCCAAAACCCGGAATTTGGGTCTGCGGGTTGGGTTGGGGTGGTCTGATAGGTAATCAGTTCTACGGCCCCCGGGTCGCATGAAGTCGTCTGCAGGCCGAAAAGTACGCTTTTGGGACCGTCTCGGGTGGCCCGTCTTGGGCGCTTCTGGGCGCTCTCTGAGGCCGTCCCGAGGCGATCTGAAGCCGGCAAGCCTCGGAGGCAAAACATGTTGATTTCTCTTCGATATTCCCATGTGTTTCGCCCACTGGGGACGCCCTGGACGCTCCAGAGATCCGAAAAAGCGTGTTCTACCGCTGCTGGCGGAAAACCGGGGGGGTCACTGGGGGTTCCTAACCCGTCCCCCCCCCCTCGAAAACGGGGGGGGGGTCACTACCGGTTCGAACCCCACCCCAGTCCATCATGAAAAGGGGGGGGGGGGTCACTACCGGTTCGAACCCCCCCTCCGCCCCCTCGAAAACCAGGGGGGCGCTACCGGTTCGACCCCCCCCCCCTCGAAAACCGTGGGGGGGTTACTACCAGTTCAACCCCCCCCCCCCTCGCCGCCGGCAAACGATGCCCGTTCCTCGGGACAGTTGGAGAATGGTGGGGATGTTGGGACAGTGGTGGGAACGGTGGTGGTGGGGACAGTGATGCGGGGACAGTGGGACAGTGGTGCGGACAGTGGTGGGGACAGTGGTGGGGACGGTGGTGGTGGGGACAGTGGTGAGGGGACAGCGAGACAGTGGTGATGACAGTGGGACAGTGGTGGGGACGGTAGTGGTGGGGACAGTGGTGAAGGCAGTGAGTGGTGAGGACAGTGGTGGGACAGTAGTACAGTGGGGAGAGAGGAGGGGACAGTGGGGACAGTGGGACAGTCAGTGATGGGGACAGTGGGGACGGTGGGACAGCAGAGTGGGACAGCGGCGGGGACAGTGGGACAGTGGTGGGATCAGTGGGGGCAGTGGGACAGTGGTGGGGACCTTGGGGAAAGTGGGGAGAGTGGACCGTGGTGGGACAAGGGTGGGGAGAGTGAGGACAGTGAGACACTGGTGGGGGGCACTGGTGGGGAAAGCGGGGACAATGGTGGGAACAGTGGGGATAGTGGGACAGTGGTGGGGACAGTGGTGTGGGGACAGTGAGAATGTGGTGGAAACAGTGGGACAGCGGAGGGTACAGTGGTGGTGGCGACAGTGGTGAGGGCGGTGGCGAGGACGGCGGTGGGATAACGGGACAGAGGTACAGTAGGGACAGTGGCGGGGACAGTGGGGACAGTGGTGGGAACAGTGGGACAGCTCAGTGGGACAGCGGCGGGGACAGTGGGACAGTGGGGACAGTGGGACAGTGGTTGGGGCCGTGGAGAAAGTGGGGAGAGTGGAACCGTGGTGGGAACAGTGGTGGGGACAGTGGGGACAGTGCGACAGTGGTGGGGGCACTGGTGGGGACAGTGGTGACGGTGGTGGGAACAGTGGGGACAGTGGTGGTGAGGACAGTGGTGCTGGGGACAGCAGTGGGGGATGTGGTGCGGACGGTGGTAGGGACCCAGAGTTGTGTGCTGGCGGTGAGCGTGGGGGGGGGGGGAGGGTTCGAACCGGTAGTGACCCCCCCTCGTTTTCGAGGGGGGGGGGGGGGGTTTCGAACGGTAGTGACCCCCCCGGTTTTCGAGGGGGGGGGGTTCGAACGGTAGTGACCCCCCCCCGGTTTTCGAGGGGGGGGGGGGGGCTCGAACCGGTAGTGACCCCTCTCTGGTTTTCTGGGGGGGGAGGGGTTCGAGCCGGTAGTGACCCCCCTGGTTTCCGGACGGGGGGGGGTTCGAACCGGTAGTGACCCTTCCCCGGTTTTACGGAGAGGGGGAGGGGGGGGGAGGGGGGAGGTTGCCGGGGGGAAGTGGGGGGGTTCCAGGGGGGGAGATTTTCGGAGCGGGGGGGGAGCCCCGGGTTCCAGAGGAAGAGGGTGGGAAATTTTCCACAGTAAAGCGGCGATGGGTCACCCTCTCTCGTCGCAGACCCCTGCGTCGTGACAAGATCGCGACCCCCGGATTTTTTCCATGGGGCTGAGATTGTGGAGGTCCGTCTCGGGCCCACGTGGGCCAGGAGACGGCCTGGGGGGACAGATCGGTCCCCGGGTTGGGGCCGAGGGGATCGGTCGTGAGCCTTGAGACGTGGGTCACTGCAAAAGGGGGTCAGCCAGAGCGCCCGATCTTGCAGGATCCTGCAGAGGCCAGGGGCGCATTGACCCGGGCTTGGGTGCAGGATCCTGCAGGATCTTGCAGGACCTTTGCACTGACCCGGGCTTTGGGCGCAGGATCTTTCAGGATTCTACAAGGCTTGACTGACCCTGGCCTGGATTGGCCCTGGTCAGAAGATCCCCGAATCGGGCGGGGCCAGGGCAGGGACGCATCGTTCGAGAGTGCTCTCAGAGCGTTCCAGAGCGCTCTGCGACGGCCGCGGTGCCCGATATACGTCCTCCAGAAACGCCAGACCTCAAGGATCTCCGTGTTTTGCCGGTCCCAGATTGTCCCGGTCTTGGCTTCGTTTTGGGGGCCCAGGGGACCCACGCGACCCAACAAGAGTCACGACGTCGGATGCTCGCTGGGGTCTATAATCGTCCAGTAGATGGACAATATATTCGAACCCTCACACATTCGAGGGAGATTCTGAATCACCCCCGCGCCCCCGACATCAATGTTGATCTCAGCAAAGGCGGTGCTTTGGGGTTCGAATATTTCTGTCCACTCACGCCCCCCCCGTCGCCACGCCATCAATATTAAATTCGGGGGTTCGGGGGGGCATCTTGGGCCACAGGGTTCGAATATAATGTCCATGTACGGTCCTGCCCCCCCTGGCCAGCCGTCGTCGAAGTCGTCGCCGTCGTCGCCTTCTACCCCGCTGCTGCCGCTGCCTCTGCCTCCACGTGATCCTCCCACTCCGCCCCCTCGTAATCATCCTCGTTTCTCCCTCCGCCTCTCCATCCTCATCCTCCTCGTCCCTGACATCCCTAATTATTTCTCCGTCCGCTCCTTGCTGTTCTCCTTCACTACTTCCTTTTTGTCTCCTTCATCTTCATCCTCTTCCTCATGCTTCGTAGCGTCCTCCATCCTCATCCTCATCGTCCCTTACATCCCTCATTTCTCCGTCCGATCCTTGCTGTTCTCCGTCACTGGTTCCTGTCTGTCGCCTCCATATTCATCCGCTTCCTCGTGCTTCGTATCGTCCTCTTCGTCATCCTCGAGCTGGTCTGGGCGATCTGGCCCTCGCCTGGAGGAGGCCGGCTTCGAGAGGATCCGCGCCCTGGCCGCGAACCTCACGGGGCGTTACAGGAGCACGTACTACGGCAAGGACGTCGTTCAGGGGAGGAGGCATCAGAGAAGAGGAGGGCGGAGGGGAGAGGGAGGAACGAGGAGGGTGAAGGAAGGCGAGGAAGAGGAGGAAGAGGAGGAGGAGGAGGAGGAGGAGGAGGAGGAGGAGGGGGAGGAAGGGAGGAGGAGGAGGAGGAGGAGGAGGAGGAGGAGGAGGAGGAGGAGGGGGAGGAGGGGAAGGAGGAGGAGGAGGAGGAGGAGGAATAGCAGCAGGAGGAGGAGGAGGAGGACGACGACGAAGACGAGAACCACAGGGACGACGGCGACGACGAGTGGTCGGCGTCCAGAGCCTGGAGAAGCACCGCCCACTGCTCTGTGGAGGACTGCGAAGGGCTGTGCTGCTGAGCGTGGCCTCGCTCGCACTGTTGTCCCGCAGGACTTGGGCCTCAGCTGCCAGACGTTCGTGCGTCCACCGTTGAGCAGGGCGGAAGAGGGGAAAGGTGGGAGAAGGGAAGGATCTGGGCACCAAAGTTGAGGACACGCAGACATGGAGTAAGGCGCGTGGGTTCGCGATGGGCTCCGAGCACTTTCGAACATCGACGCGCACGGTCGCCAAATCAGGCGGCATCGGCTTCGACCGCGCCCCTATTGCTAGATCCACGGATCTGCAACCCATGTTAGCGCGTGTTGGGGAGAGGGAGGCAGAGAAGGGAGGGGTTGGCAGTAATTTAAGGAGGGGTTGGCAGAGGAGGGGAGACAGGGTGGCTGTGGTGGCCCAAGAGGGGAGTAGGAGGAGACGGAGGAGGAGGAGGAGGAGGAGGTGGAGGAGGAGGAGGAGGAGGAGGAGAAGGAGGAGGGGAGGAGGCGGAGGGGAGGAGGAGCAGGAGGAGGAGCAGGAGGAGCAGGAGGAGGAGGAGGAGGAGGAGGAGGAGGAGGAGGAGGAGGAGGAGGAGGAGGAGGAGGAGGAGGAGGAGGAGGAGGAGGAGGGGGCGCGCCCCGGGGGGGAAGTGAGAAGGGGTGGGCCTCTTCAGAAGGCTCGGGAGTTCCTCGGCCTTCTGGAGAGCTTTTTTCTCGGAGTTCCCCCCGGAGAGGCAGGAATCTGGGCCTCCCAGATGGGGTCCGAGTAGATAGATAGGGTCGAAGGATCGCGCCGCATCGCCGATGCATCGACGATGCGGCTGGATGTGGAGCCCGCGTTTCCCCACACCGACGTGACCGATGCATCGCCGACGTCGACGATGCATCGCCGATGCATCGTCGATACATCGCCGATGTATCGGCGATGCGGCGCGATCCTTCGACCCAATCTAGGAGACCTCTAGCAGGAAGCTTCTCAGAGGCCGCGGGTGCTTCTGAGAAGCCTCGCCGCCTCCTGAAGGGGCCTTCTCCTCCTCGCTTGTCCCCCTCGCTCGCCGCCGAGGGGAGGGGGAGAGGAGGGGAGGGGCGGGGTGGGGAGGGGGGAAGGGAGAGGGTTAGGATGGGGCCGCCGAGGGGCGGGAGAGGAGGGGAGGGGTGGGCGAGGGAGGAGGGAGGCAGGGGGTGGGGAGAGGGGCGCCAGAACTTCCCCCTCCGGCGGCGCCCCGCGAGCCCGCGGCCGTGCGGCGGCCTCTGGAGTTCCGCTGCGCCAGAGCGGCGAGTGCAGGGGAGCGGTGGACGGCGCGGGCGGTGGACTGCCGAGCGTGCAGGGGAAGCGGTAGGTCTGGATCTACCGTTAAGTCGGGCGTGTCTTTTATTCAAACATAGTCAGAAAATAGTTCGGGGACGATTTGTCATAATTTGTTTAACTATTTTTGACTATTCTCAATTGTTAGTCCAACATCCGCCTGTAAGGGAACATGCCCGACCTAAGGCCACGGCAGGTTCGCGCGGCGATGACACGCCTGCGACGCCAGCGGAGGCGTTCAAGGCTGAACTCGGGGCTTAAGGGACGGGGGTCGGTGCAAACGGAGTCAGCCAGAGCGCCAGGTCTTGCAGAATCCTGCAAAGCCAGGGCTGCACTGACCCGGGTTAGGGCACAGGATCCTGCAGGATCCCGCAGGATTTTGCCCGACCTTGCAACGCCCGACTTACCCGGGTTTGCATTGACCGAGGTCAGTGCGTCCCCGAACTTTGCGATGCGGCTGCACCGAGGGACATTGTAACGCAGTTGGACCCGACGGAATTCAACCTTGAACGATCGGGGCCGCGATCGATTCTAGGTTCAACGATCGACGCGGTATCAAAAACCTTTGCGCGCGCGACGGAGGCACCTACTTCTCGGGCGACGTCAGGGGAGGGGGGTAGGCTCAGGGGCAGCGCATCGACCCCCAATCGCCCAGTCATCGCCGACAGGGGGCCTGGGCCGAGCGGATGTCTTTGCTCGGCGCTGGGCCCCCTCTAGTGGCGCTTCCGGCGCTGCCCCTGGCGCGCGGGGCGCGCGCCAGGGTTCGATGCGGTGTTGGCCGGCGATGTGCGGCACAGGCGCAGGCGGAGCTCTCGGAGAGAGCCGTGGGGCGCGCCGGCGGTGCAGCGACGCTGGCTCAAGGCCCGGGGCCGGCCGCTGGGCTTCCGCTGCCCAAGCTGGGACGGGAAGCGCACTGGCCTTGGGCCCAGGGTGGGCCTGGCCACCATGGGGTATGCACACATATTGTATATATATACATGTCTATGCATATGTGTATATGTTTCTATATACACACATATTTATATATATATATATATATATATACATGTACATGTACATATACATATATATATATATATATATGTAAAGTAAGTAAGATCTTCAGATGTCACCACGAAAAGGAGGTGGTCTGATCTGGGCCAGGGCGTCTGATTGGAGCTGTCTTGGAGGGTTCCAGGAGGGTCGGTCTGGGCAAGCGGCCGCCCTTTCGCTGCCAGTCTGGGGGGGGGCGGCACAGGGTCTCGCCTGGGAGGGCTGTGCCTCCCCCCTCCCGTGGCGTCCTTGCGACCAGAGCGGAGCACTCCTTGGAAGCCTCGGCCAGGAACAGATGAAGGTCGGCGCCCTGCTGTTCGGCCAGGGCCAGCAGGTGAGGGGCGGCCACACGTCGGCCGCTGAGGAGGTGAGCCCGCTGACGTCCGACCTGGTGGGCCCCGCCTTTGGTCGCGTCGACTGCAGCGGGGGGGCGGGGAGGTGACGAGGCGAGACAGAGGAGGCGGAGGAGGAGGCGGAGGAGTAGGCGGAGGAGGAGGAGGAGGAGGAGGAGGAGGAGGAGGAGGAGGAGGAGGAGGAGGAGGAGGAGGAGAGGGCGAGAGGAGGACTAGGAGGAGGAGGAGGAGGAGGAGGAGGAGGAGGAGGAGGAAGAGGGGAAGGAAGAGAGGAGGAAAAGGAGGAGGAGGAGGAGGAGGAGGAGGAGGAGGAGGGAGGAGGAGGGAGGAGGGAGGAGGGAGGAGGGAGGAGGGAGGAGGGAGGAGGGAGGAGGAGAAGGGAGGAGGAGGAGGAGGAGGAGGAGGAGGAGGAGGAGGAGGAGGAGGAGGAGGAGGGAGGAGGAGGAGGAGGAGGAGGAGGAGGAGGAGGAGGAGGAGGTGGAGGAAGGGAGGCGGAGGCGGAGGCGGAGGCGGAGGCGGAGGAGAGGAGGAGGAGGAGGAGGAGGAGGAGGCGGAGGGCAAGGAGGAGGAGGAGGAGGCGGAGGAGGAGGAGGAGGAGGAGGAGGAGGAGGAGGAGGATCTCGTGGGCTATTTTTGGGGCCTCTTGGGGCTCTCCTGGTCTGTTCTGGGGCGCTTGCGAGCCCCGGGACCCCCAGGGGGGGACGGTCGTCTGACCCCTCACCCAGGACCTTCCCCCAACGTAATTGCGACGTTGCTCAATTTCGCTTTGGTTTCGCGTTGGTTGGCTGGCTTGAGGAGAGGGCCCAGTGAAGGGGGTGAGCGGCGACGGGCCACGACGACGACGACGACGGCGACGGCGACGACGACGAGGACGAGTCAAGGAGGACGGTGTTGGCGGATTCAAAGGGGCAGGAGGTCATGATGTTGATGCATTCCAGGATGTTCCAGGTCTTCGGGATTTCCAGGATTCCCTAATGCTTCACACGGGCTGTAGAGACGAGTACCGCCGGATACTTCGGGTTTTCTGGAACGAGCCCTGAGCAAAGTGCATCATGACATCATTTTCGTCCGAGATGCACGGGCCCCCAGTTGCGGATAAGAGCGAGGGGGGAATGATTGCGGCGAAATGAGAACGGCAGGTTCGTGTCGTGCCGACGCGGCAGCAGCGACCCCGCCGTGGGCGTTCAAGGTTGAACGCCGCCAGTGGCCCAGAGTCGAGGAGGAGGAGGAGGAGGAGAAGGTGTTAGAGGAGGATGAGATACCCATACCGCTACCCTCGCCCCGTTTTCACCTTTTTGGGGCCTCCTGGGAGGCCCTCGTGGCACCGCTGGATTCGCTTCGAAATCCTGGTCAGAACGCACCCAGGGACAGGTCCAGGCAGGAAATATATGCGCACCTTGTGGTTTCCCCGAAATCTGGGTGCTAGTTGTAAGCTCATGGGAGGGAGAGAAGGAGGAGGAGTGGCGGGGAAAGGAAAAGTTACGTTCTTTGCTCCACGCAGCCAGTGTCAGCCCCGCCGCTGCGCACACTCTCCGACACGGTCGTTCCCGGCGCCTCTGGGCGACGTGGGAGCCGGTGGCATGCAGTTGATTCGCTATCCCCTTCTTTGCTAAACCCACTGCCCTCTCGTTCACCACGTTGTATCTTCGAGGGACCTCGCCTGTTCTCAGAATTGGTGTCGTTTCTTGTGCTCGACGCGGGCTCGATGCGGACTCGACGCGGATTTGCGTGGGCTCGAGCAGACTCGACGTGGATGCGTCGCGGACTCGACGAGTCCGACACGGATTCGGCACGAATTCCTCGCGGACAGGGGAGCGAAGGGTCAGACGAGGTGCGCCGAGGATGCATCCTGACCCTCAAATTTCTTCCCCCACTTCCTCCTCTTTCCTCATCCACCGCCTCTCCATCTCCCTCTCGGGCCGAACGAAAGGGGGGCATAGGGAATGGGGGGGTACGAAATCTGCTGCATGCAGCTGGTTTCGGCCCCGCCGTCGGGCCCATTCCTCGATGCATGGGCGCCGGGAGGCGCCGGGAAAATCAGCTACGTGAGCTGATTCTCAAACCCCCCTTTGCTGTCCCCCCTTTCGTCTGGCCCGACCCTCTGTCGCCATCCCCCTCCCCCGTCACCCCATCCACCCCATCCCCGCCTCGGCCCTGGGACGGGCCCACGGGGGGAGGCCAGCGTGGCGCGGAAGATCGAGGGCCTCGCCTGGAGGCGGGGCGTCCCGAACATGATGCAGGCGGGGGGGAGGGAGGGAGGGGAGGAGGGGAGGGGGGGAGGGGAGGGAGGAGGGGGGGGAGAGGGGGGGGGGAGGGAGGGGGGGGGAGGGAGTGGGGGCGGGGGATGGAGGGGGGGAGGGAGGGGGGGAGGGGGAGGGGAGGAGGGAGGGGGGGGAGGGGAGGGAGAGGGGGGGGAGGGAGGGAGGTGAGGGAGGATGGGGGGGTGGGGGGGGAGGGGAGGAGGGGGGGGAGGGAGGCAGGGGAGCGGGCCGGAGCCCCCCGACCTCGGGTTCTCCCAAGGTGGGGGGTCATGGAACATGCCCGGCTTGATATAAACAGATTTGCTACTCACAATGGCCGTTGTGACAGATTTGCGTCAAACCCCAACCTTGCCCCTACTCCGGGTTTCTCAATAAGCGTGGGGGGGGTACCCCCCCGACGGGGGTCAACCTCGCGACGGGGGTCGATGTGGGGCTGTCGGCGCGGGTGGCGCCCCCCCGACGCTTACTACTGTCGGACTCGATTGGACAGGGCACGCGAGAGGACCCAAGACCCTTCCGAGGGCCACATTGCCACAGGAGTGTAGGAAGCATGGGCCGCGAGACACAGGGCACGAGGGTACCCTTGATTTGGCAGGGTCGACCTACTAAGCTGGGCCGACTGTAAGGCACTCGGAGTGCCCAACCTTTGCGCTCCCCCCCACAGCCTCGGGCCTCTCCGCGGGCCCTTCCTGGCGGGGCCCTTGGGCCCTCAGAACGGAAGCGAGCCGCGGCGGAGAGCGGGGCTGCCCGGGGTCGAGAGTTCCGGGAGCCCACGCCTCGGCTATTGTTGAGTCGGGCATGTCCCTTTACAGGAGGAGTATTCAAACATTGTCAAACATAGTCTGGGAACGATTTTTCTATGTTTTTCCAATTTGAGAATTTGGTTGCTTTTACTCTCTCTCTATATATATATATACACACGTATCCTTCAAAAGCCGCATGTACGGGGAGATGCCCGACCTGAGGCTACTGTCAGGAGTGGCCCCTCGCAGGAGCGGCCCGCGGCGCGCGGCGCTCGGGGGGGGCGCGGCGCTCGGGGGGGGCTCCAGGCCGGAGCACAGCGGCCGCTGCTTCCGCGTCGCGCGCAGCGATCGGCAGGCCGCGCGCGACAGGTCGACGCTTGCCTGAAGTCGGGCAGCCCCGCGCGCGGCAGGCCGCGCGCGACAGGTCGACAGGCGCGACCTCTCTACAGGAGGAAGATTGAAGAAAATCAAAGAATAGTCTGAAGACGATATAGTCAAATATTGTTTGACCATTTTGGAGCATTTGTTGATTTGTTGTTCTGTTTGAGTTTTGGGGTTATTTGTGTTTGCTAGTTTGCTTTTTGAGCACTCTTTGGCTATTTGAATTGTTTCGTCCGAACCCCCCTTGTAGGAGGACACGCCCGACCTAACGCTTGCCCAGGGCCGTTCGTGCGTAGATCGACGAAGGACAGCGAATGTCCAAGAAATCCCCGCGGGCGGACCGTCGAGTGTTTACAGTGATGCAGTTCTTCCTCGTCTAGTCACGAGTCAGATTGAGGGGCCGAGCGGTCTTACACTATCCCCGGTTGCGTGGGCGGATGTGCGATTCCGCGGCGCGGAGGCTGCTCGTTGCGTTGCGGTGCGTGGCGTTGCTGTCGTCGTCCTCGCCGGCGGCCCGCCCGAGACCCACCCACGGCCCCGCATCACTCTTACGCCGCAACTGCGGGTGGCTTTGCATGAGCAGAAACAATGGTTCGCTTGTCTTCACTCCCCGCGCCGCGCGAAGCGCGGCTGCCTCCGCGGCCTCGCACAGGGCCTACACGCTCCTCGTCCCTACCGCCGTCATCGTCGATTGCGGAGAACAGCAGGAGGAGCAGGAGGAGCAGGGGGAGGAAGAGGACGAGAAGGAGTGGAAGGGCCCACGTCGCAGGAGGGAGGGATGAGGAGGGACCCACGTCGTGGAGAGCACTGCACGGCGTCGCAGAGCTTGGGGCGAAGAGTGGAGCGGAGAGGGCCCGCCCTTTGGCCGGACGCCGCCCCGTTCGCCTCCTCTGCTGATTTTGTCCTCGCTTCCTCCTCCCCTCCTCCCCCCAGGGTGCACTTCGATCCGATCGATCCGATTCGACATCGAGTTCGGCCGGGTCGATCACGTGTGATCATGTGATCACGATTTTCCAGGGACCCGATCCGCCCCGATGCACGCATGGCGTTGCTGTGCATCCCAGCGCGGCCGATCCGATTCGATGTCGACCCCGTGCCGACGCGGCCCCATCCTGCGCACGTTCCGATCCGACCTGATGTCCCGACTCGATGCTCACTGGTCGATGGTCCCGAGGTGGGGTCCTGAGGGATGGGGGGACCCAAGGACGCAAAGGGATCCAGAGGTGGATTTACGTTGTTCGGGGCACCTCGTCCTTGGGATCCCATCCTCCAGCACCCCATCTTTGAACCACCGAACTGATCCTGCCTCCTCGCTCGAGGCTTCAGTCGGGCGTGTCCCTGTGCAGGGGGAACATCCAAAAATAGTCAAAAACTAGTCCAGGAACTATTTGTTTGATTGTTTCTGGCTGTTGGTGAATCTTTGTTGAGTATTTTCCAGTTGTCGCCCATGCCCGACCTAACTCGAGGGCCGAGGCTCGAGGCGCCTGGGCCTGGCCGCACCCTGCCGCAGGGGCCTCCGCAGGCCGTCCCCGAGGCCTCCGCGGTCCTCCTCCGCGGGGCCTCCGCTGCCCCTGCGGCGCCCCCTGGTGGTGGCCTCTGCGGGCGCGCCTCGTGGCCTGGCCGGGGCCCCCGGGGTTGAGGCCGGTGCAGGTGCAGGGGTGCGGCGGCGCGTCGGGCCGCCGCGTCTCCCCCTTCCGCCCCTTCCCCCCCTTCGCCGCAGGGCCGCTTCCGCTGGCAAAAAAAGTGTCCCCCTCGACTGCTCTCCGTGTGCGGTGCGGTGCCCTGCTCGCAACCTCTGGGGTTCTGAGCTCCGGCGTGAGGTCGAGCATGTACCCCTACCCCCTGTCGATCAAAATAGCCAAACACAGATTCAAAAAGGGTCGAACAATAATAGAAAAATTGTCCCCATCATATTTTTTTACTATTTTCAAATGTTCCTGCTAGGGACACGCCCGACTTAACTTTGGCGCGGAGGGGATCAGGGGAGGAAAAAAGCCACGGATGCCGCTACCACTCATTCGGTTTTCCCCCCTGTGGGGGGGCGTCCTGGAAGGCCCTCGTCGCCACCACTGGATCCGCCTCGACATTCTGGTCAGAGCGCATCCGGGGAGAGGTCCGGGAGATGGCGGCATGGTACCTTCTGCATTCCTCAGGGGAGGGCTCGTGGCGTCCTGGCACGCGAGGTCTCAGTGGCAGCTCGTCCCAAAAGGTGGGCGACTGGGGCCGCGGAGGACGGGAGGCGAGAGTAGGGGAGAAGAGAGGAGGGGAAGTTAGAGGGGAGGGGGGATAGGATGTGGGGGGGCCGAGAGGACGCGGGGAGAGTCGAAGGGATCGTCCCTCCTACCTCCTGTCGTCCTTCTGCCTCTGCACCGATGTCCTCGCGCTGATCGGCAGCGCTCGCCGAGCTCTGTGATGGAGAGGGGAAGGAGGGGGGGGGAGGACGGGGAGGTTCCCCTACCTCCTTGGCGTCGCGAAAGATCTCGACGGCCGGCGTTGGTCCCATTGCTCTCCACGGCCGTCCTTTCTTCTTCGGCGTCGGCATCAGGAGGCCCAGCTTTGGTTCCATAATTTATCTGTCGTCGGCCGTTCTTGCTTCAGCTCCGGCTTCGCTGGGCCCTGGGGCAATGAGAACGCCAGCCAGGACAAGCACGAGAGCAACAAACACAAGCTGCCCACGCAGTGAGGCCGAGAGGTCTGGGGGGGGTAGGACGTGGCGGGAGAGAGCAGTCTCGCGTGCGAGTTGTTTTTGTTATCTGGGGTCTGGGGTGTGGACCAGGCAGGGCCAGGATGAGGACAGATCGTTCCAGTGCGTCCCAGAACTCGCTCAGAGCGTTCTGGAAGGCTTCGGAGTGGAGGGGCTGGTCAGGGACAGCACGGAGTGGATTGGAACGCTCCGGAGTGGAGGGAGCAGCATCGTCAGGCTCAGGGGGGGGAGCTACATCGACCCCCCATCTCCCCGAGCGGAGCCTGGCCCCTCGACCCCGCCCAGGAACGTGTGGCTTCGCTGACGGGGGCCTGTCGCTGATCTATCGGCGATGTACCGTGGAGGCCCATGCCAAGAAACACCCTAGGTTTCTTGGGTGTCGATGGTTTGCGATGGAAGGCGCGACGTTCCCACACCAAACATCCATGGACGTCCTGGGGTCTCAGGGTTGGGTTTCTTGTGGAAGGTTTCTTGTGGTCGGGCCCTTTCTGTATGGCCTATTTCAGCCCAGTGCTCCATACCCGAGCCCTCCTTGATCAGCGTCGGGCGGCCTCCGGTCAGGCCCTGTCGCTGGCCGACAAGATGCTGCAGCGGGGGCGCTCCGACGCCCAGAGCGCCATCCTGGTGATCACCGGCCGAGAGGGGGGGGATGGGTCTCGGGGCCAAGGGGGGGTGATGACCAGGGTTGAGTCCGGCCTGTCCCTCTGCAGGAGGAATCTTCAAAACTAGTCCAAATACTGTCTGGGGACGATGTTCTGATCATTTTTGGAGCATTTGGGGGGTATTTATTAAAATTGTTCGTCAAAAATCCGCCTGCAGGGGGACATGCCCAACCTAACACCAGGGGGGGAGATCATGGCGGATGCTATGATATCTCCCCAGATTTCATGGCGCCTCTTCTCAGGGGGCGCGTCGGGAGTTGGGCCTGGGCAGATCGCGAAGGTGACCGTCTAGGCCCGACGAGGCCCAAAGAGAGCCCTGAGAAAGAACAGGGCGACCGTTGGACCCCGCACAGGGTCCGTCTAAGTGCAAGCACTCTTTGGGAATTGGGCCGTGGTGTGGACCCCAGACAGGGTCGGCGTGGCGTAGTGCAAGCGCTGTTTGGGAATCGGTGGCAACCGCCGTCGTCGTCGTCGTCTTTGTCGCGTCTTCTGCCTGCCTCCTCTCAGCTCTCCTCTCCCTCGCCTGGCAGCAGGGGAAAAGGTAGCAGCAGAGCAGGGAACGTGCGGACGATGAGGATTTCAAAACGTCCCTGGCCCCCTCCCCTGAGCCGCGCACATGCCTCGGGCCATGATTTCCACACACCCCTCTTGGACGCCCCCTCTTGGCCGCCCCCGAGGGGCAGGCTGGCGCGGACCTCCCCCTAAGCTCCTCTCGGAGCAGGACCAGTCGAGACCACGGTGGCACTCTCTTGTTTTTGTTGTTCGCCCTGTTGGAGCACGGAGGCTTGGGGACGATCCACGGTTGTCCTCTTGGCGTGGAGGGCTGCCAAGTGGCAGTTCGTCCTCCCCCCTCTTTGGGGGCTCTCTTGGGGCCATCTGAGGGCCCTCTTGGGCCGTCTTGGGCACCCTCCAGGCCGGAAAGCCGATCATACGCGAAAGCCACTCACAACAGCCCAAGGTGCTTCCGTGAGGCTTGCCTGTCGGGCCGGCCCCCAGGGCCTCCATGAAGGCCAGAGAGGCCGCCAAGACCAGCCCCCGGGCGGTCCCCTGGGGCCGCGTTTTGTGACAAGTCTGCAGGTGGAGGCCCGCGGCCGCGCTCCCGAGGCATCTGGAGAAGTCGCGCGGGGGCTCCCGAGGGGGAGTCCTGGGCGCGCGCGCGAGAGCTCGGCCACGCGCAGAGGGGGGTAGGGCGAGGGGGGAAGGCTTCTTAGCAGCACCCCTGCTTCTTAGAAGGCGTGGGCCTTGTCTGTAGATGTAGGGCCGGCGCCCTCTGAGAAGCAGGAGTGCTTCCGAGAAGCCTTCCCAGGGAGTTGGGGGTCGGGGTCATGGGCCTGTCGGGGCCAAGGGGCCTCTTGAAGAGCGTTCTCTGTCTTCGGTGCAGAGTGCTCGAACGGACCTGAGGACACGGCTGGACCTAAACGCTGTTGTGCTGGACTTCGGCGATTCTTTGTTTTTCATTTTGGGAGGGAAGGTACAGGAACACAGATTGAGCAAAACGAAAAACAAAACGACAACAAAACGAAAAACAACGTTTAGGTCCAGCCCTGCCTGAGGACATTCCACTCCGAGCCCGCGGTGCGGTGTTGCCAGTTGGACCATCGGCCAGAGGCATGTGTGCGCGTCGGCTTCGGAGTGCGGCGGCCATGCAGTTGGCAAACGCAGTTATAGTTCTGCTAGTGCTTGTGCAGTCGTGTTGCCCGGTCTCAGGCGTCGCGCGTACGCAAAGCGGGTTTTTGAAAGATAGTGTATGGCCATCTTCGTCAGTCGTACAAATATCGAGCGTGGCATGTTACGAACAGTCTGCATGAATGAGTTCAGTATGAACGCTCGTGCTTATTGATCGTAGCACTAACAGGTTCACACAGCTTACGCAAGTTCCCATGTGTTACTTCTCTGCTGTTTGGAAGTGGAGACGCTCCGTACGCAAACTCTGCGAGCACATCGAGTATGTTCCAGCACCTGAAAGACAAGAACGTCCGCATCTTCATGGAGCGTGGGACGGCATGGAAGCCAGTGTCCTGATGTACTTTTCTGCGTCGCTGTCTGCTCGTTCGCTAATCTCCATTGTCGACTGCTCTTGCCAGGATTATTGCGACCTGTTGCTGCATCTTGCTTACCTGGGCCGTTGTGTCGCACACACACACACACCAGACGGTGCGAGATTGATGTGGGGCCGATGCTGTACGACATATTGTTGGTTGGGTGCGAGATGTTGGGTGTTGAGTCTTTCAATTTTAGACGGAGAGTGATGAAGAGAAAGAGAGAGAGAGAGAGGGAGGGAGAGAGAGAGAGAGAGGAACAGAGTTGCCCTTAATGGATGTTGACCAATTGCCGTGGGGACAGCCAAACATAATGCAGAGCACACCAAAGATGTAGACGCGACGCTGCTGATTGGCAAGCGTGCGGGGTGCTGGTCGGGACAGGAAGGCGCACTTCTCGAGCAGCCTCGCGGGATGACGGTCCTGCTGGGGCCCCCGTGCGAAGCGTCGAGCCCTTTGTGGGGGGCCCTTGCGGCCGCCAAGGGCTCCACGCTCGGGAGGCGGGGCAGCGCCCTTCGGGGCACGGGAGGCCCGCGTGCCGTGCGTTTTGACAGGAACAGGCCACACCGCAGGCACTGCGGCAGGCAAGAAGCGTTCCGTGGAGCGCGGGGCGCAGCTCTCGGTGTCCGCGGCCTGAGAAATTCTTCGCGGGCGCCGCAGGACTGCGCACGGGCATGCCGCGGGGTTCCTTCCGAAGGCCCCTGGCGCGGAAGCCCGGCCTGGGCTTATCCAGCAAGCCCAGTTGGCAGCGCATTCCAGCGATGCCAGCTGGGTCGTGCAATGCAAGGCCCAGGTGCCTTGTCCTCGCCCCCGCAGCCCCATGTACGGTAGGCTCGCGCCGAGTCGACGCGGCGGCGACGCCAGCGCTGACCTTCAAGGTTCAATGCAAGTGGCGCGGCTGAATCAGGCCAAATTTGGATGACCTCTGCTGTCGCATTGCGCAGATTGCTACATACTGAACGATCCGCGAGGTGTAAACGACAGGAGCCAGCCGTACCCTACGAGCGACTCCGGCCTCCCCATATACTGTTGTCTTCAGGCACACCCTGTCGCGGCTTCGACCCCGTTGTCGTCTTCCTTTTCCCCCCTCTTCCTCCAGGAGTTGGAGGAGGGGGAGGGGGCTGAGGATGCAGAGGAGGACAGAGAGAGGAGGAGCGGAGGTAGGATAGGCAGGGAGTTGGAGGGAGGGGGGGGGAAGCAGAGAGAGGAGGAGGGCAGAGAGAGGTAGGGCGCTGGAGGGAGGGGGAGGAGCGGAGAGAGGAGGAGCGGAGGGAAGAGCGGGAGCGGGAGCAAGGGGTAAGAGGAGGAGCAGCAGGAGGAGGACCAGGGGTCTGCGTTGGAGGAGCAGGAGCAGCTGCAGTTGCAGCAGCATCAAACCAGCAGGAGAAGCATGCAGCAGCATGAGCACCAGGATGACGATGCAGAGCGGGGGCAGGTAGATGGTTGCGGATGTGCGGTGGCAGCCGCGCTGGCGACTGTTGACGGCGGGGGGCGACGACGAGGAGAGAGTCGCGAAGCAGGACCAGGAACAGCAGGAGCCGGAGCGGGAGGATGATGGGGATGATGGGGATGATGGGTAGGAGGCAGGTCAGGAAATGGTATTGGCACCTAGCTGAATTGGCTTGCACGCGTGCGGTGCCGTGCGATGCCGTGCTTTGGCGTGCGTGGGTAGGGGAGTGGGGATGGGACTCATTCGCGTGTGTGCATGGTGTGGATGTCGCGCCAGGCTGCCACCCACGGGAGCGACAGCTTGGCGGATGGGGCACTCGATGAGGAGGAGGCGGAGGAGGAGGAGGGACATCATCAGGTTGAGAAGGAGGCGCACGAGCAGACGTATGACGAGTGCTGTCTCGCTCAGTCTCACAGCCAGCGTTTTTGCAGACAGCGGGGAGGCTCCCATCAACCAGCTCGAGAACTCGGATGATCTGCAGGTCACGACGCGCACCGCGGCAGAAAGGCAGCAGAGGAAGGCGACGGCAGCGGGGTGCATGAGGATACGTCAACGCTGAGCGGAACAAGGTTGATGAATGAAGGGGGGCTCCGAGGAGAATCAGGCCGTGCACAAGAGTCGGGCAGCCGCTGCCTTGGCGTGGCGACTGCCTCTTCTCGGTGGGCTTCCAGCAGCGGTGCAGTCATGGTCTCGACGCGGGTGCCCAGCGGTTCGGGCCTGGTCCGGCGCGTGGCGGGCGACGGTCCGGTGCGGCGTCCGATTCCAGTCGGCAGCAGCGGGCAGCAGCGGGAGGAGAAGGAGCAGCAGGGGCAGGAGGATGTGGAGGCGCTCGTGGGGGCATCACACGGGGGGCGGCGGCAGGCGAGCACCGCCAACGTCGTGCGTGGGCCAGTTGGACGCAGGGGTTATCAATGGATGAGGGCCCTGGCAAGAATGGTGGCGGAATTGCTGGTTGCGCACGGGTTTGGCGTGCCCTGGGGAGCTTTGGAGGTGGTTCGCGGGGGTCAGGTGCAGTGCAGTCAAGACGCTGAAATGAAAGCCACTTTGGGCTCAAGAGGGGCTCTGCTTTTTCGAGCCGTTCCGTAGACCCAGGTCGGGGAACACACTCGTTGCCCAAAGTCGTCGCGGGCGGGAAAGCCCCTCCGTTCCTTATTTTGCGTTCCTTCTGTTAGCACGGGTGGGGCAGGGGGGGAGGGGACAGAAATGGAGGGATGGATCTCGTTGGGCCTCGATTCCAGATGCTTGGTCCCGCCGTTGTTTCTAACAGGCGCCCCCCCCCACCATTTCGATATTCTTGATCGAAGACGCCTACGGCGAATCACCGCCGCCCCCTGCCTTTTTGGAAACGCCGATGTGGCCGAAAGTTGGACTAGAGCTTGGCCAAGCTATCGGACCATGAGTTCCCCGAGTCGGTTTGGAAAGCTTTCGGGGAACACATGGGAGAGAATGATTATGAACAGGAAGAGGAAGAGGAAGAAATAGAGTAGGAGGATGAGGGTTGTTAGGAGTCTCTTGGGGCACCCTTGGGGTCTGTTGGGGGCTTCTTGGGGGCCTCTTCGAGGCCTCTTGGAGGCATCTTGGGGGCCTCCTTGGGCCTCTTGGGGGCCTTTGGGGGCTTCCTGGGGGTCTCTTTGGCCGTCTTAGGGCGTTCCTGGTCCGTCTGACGCCGTCTGGAGCCGTCTTGGGGGCCTCTCTGGGCCGTCTTGGGGCCCTCTTGGGGCGCTTCAGGGCCGTCTTGGAGGCCATGTTGGGCGTCTTGGAGGCCTCTTGGGCCGTCTTGGGGCGCTCTTGGGGCCGTCTTGGGGGGCCCTTGGGCCGTCATAGGGCCTTCTTGGAGGCCTCTTGGGCGATCTTGGGGGCCTCTTGGGCCGTCGGAAGGCCGAAAAGAAGAAAACGCAAAAAACCTTCAAAAACCTAAGGAAAACCAATGATTTTGGCCTCTTCGGGCTCTCCTGGAGAACGTCTTGGAGGCCTCTTGGGCCATCTTGGAGGCATCTTGGGGCCATCTTGGCCGTCTTGGAGGGCATCTTGGGCCGTCTTGGAGGCATCTTGGAGCCATCTTACCCGTCTTGGAGGCCATCTTGGCCGTCTGGGAGGCATCTTGGAGGCCATCTTGGGCCATCTTGGCCGTCTTGGAGGCCATCTTGGAGCCGTCTGGGGCAGGCAATTGGGGAATTGAGG